ATAATGTAATACTAGTTCATTAACTCGACATCAACAGTTGATAATATTTCAGTCAATTATGTATGATTTTCACTGTAAGAATATCTAGTATCAATTAGATGAGGAATATGCAGGTTAAATATTTTTTGAATTATTTTAACCTTGTATAAAACTAATAAAACATTCAGGGTTGACATTTTAAGGTCAAAATCTTCCAGGAATACACGGAACCTTATTAAACAAACATATATTTTTTTAAAGTTGTTTTGCCTGACACTTTTTGAAAATCAGTAAAGAAAAGAAATCAGAATTCGAACAACTTATAATGGACATGCATGTATTAAAAACAAATTATCAATAATGATTGAAAGAATTACCTTCCACTTCCAACAGATATGGCCCAACCAGTATGGAGCTCAGGTCTTCTTTATGGGCCAACACTTGATAGGCCATATTTGGTCATATTGGATCTGCAGGTTAAATTTATTTGGAAACAAATTCATTGAATTATTATAAACCATGTACTATGCAGGGCTGGACAATAAGGGTAACCTGCTGGCCTACGACTAGTGAAATCTCCATCTCGACTACAGTAGTGGTTATAAAAACTACTAGCCCACATCGTCTAGTCAAAATTTGTTATCAATTAACATGTTGAATAATATTTGTTTCGTGGAATTTACACATGGAGTCAGGACTAGTAAAATTGAAAACTTCTTGCCAGACTGACTAGTTTTTTTTATATATCATACTAAACGCAACTACAGTATATGTAGTTTGCTTCTTTATTTCATGAACGTTTATACACTTTCTGATCAATTTTAGTCATTTATTAATCAAAACAGTCATTTAACAAGATATTTCAGTTTAAATATAATAAATATTATGTCGTCAAGCTGTACTATTTCCATGGGTTTTTTCATTTCATTTTTTAAAATTAAATTTCAATTGAGTTCATGAGCAAATAAAAGAGGTAGACTGATAAAATGTTCTCTAATCATTGCTTTAAACTATAATAATTTTGATTATAAACCATTCATTTGTACAGACGTATATACTACAGAGTGGCTTTTCTGTATATGTCTGATTTGTATTACAAAATAAAAATGTTGCATCATGATCACTGATATGAAAAATGTTCCATCTTTGTTACCCTTGCGTAGGCGATTATAACCCCACACTACAAATATCTATAACACATACATGATCTAGTACTACTGATATGGGTCACAGATAATAAATGTACATGTTTATAGGTTCTTTGACCCATGTGCATACTAATTTCTCGACATGTTGTCACGCGCTCTTGTGCCCCACCCCAAACAAACTCTACAAAGTACATTCTTTTATACTTGAATTAGGATATTTCATGTAACAAGCTCCTGCGATCTATTTTAGCGTCAATTTATTCAACTTACTGGTGCATAAGCGGTCAGAGTCCCTATTTGTTATTGATATATTGAATATTCCATTGCCCCCCTTCAGAGTAAGTTGTCTGAAATTGGCTGTAACTTTTTGTCAGATGATGGGTCTGCGTGAGAAGAGTCTGCATCTGTCGTCTGCTGGCAATTATATCAACAACTTATGGATACTTTTAAGCACCTGTGATTCATTTGACACGTAGCGCACTGAAAGTACTATAAATTTTGATCATACTTATCATCTGCTGTCCTTTTTTGCTGTGTTTGCTGACGGAAAAACATTTTTTCCGGATATAACCTGAATGGTTCAGTCGTAAAAACTGCAACACAATTAAGATTCTCGCAGTTCAGGTATGTAAAAATATATGGAACAGCTGAAATAGTGTTTAACATATTATACATACATATATATCGCATATGCTGGACATCAGAATTGAAAATATTTCATTGACGGCCATATTGGTTCCAACTTGGTACTCTTAAATGAAACGTTCCGGACAAACCGGTTCGTTTCGGCGGAACGTTGCATTCCATTTAACGGAACGGATAGTACGTATCGGTACGTTCCGCTAAATGGAACATGCTATAAGTGTGGTAATTTTTGGTTATACCTAACAAAACAACAAATTTTAGGAAATAACACTTGAAATGTTTATCAAAATTCATTTGATGTGTTTATACTGTAAATGAAATTTAAAAAATGCAGTAACAGCACTTTTGTTTTGAGTTTTCCTTTTCCTAAAAAATGTGACAATTTCTGATAATGACTCATTTACAGTCATCGCTGTAATTGACCCTATAACCTTTGTAATGCTCATTATCTTTTAATTCCTGTAGGAACGCCTACAGTAATTAATTATCCTTATAACCGTTGCGCGTGTACTTGATGTCTATTAAATCTACTCAAGCATGCATGCCAGAACTGACGGCGTGAGACAACATCTCACAGATTTTCACCTCCGATAAAGTCTCACGGCTTGGGACACGAATTTACGGAAAGTCCTCATACCCTCACGTTTTTTAATGATCGATCGGTGAACCATTTTCCTGTGGTTGTTTACTCACAGTCTTACGCTATTCCACAATGCTTTCAGCAATAAATCACCAGAGCTCTCGAGTGGCTGTCATGTGATTGGTCATGTGATCGAAGAGCTCTTCCGATAACTTCCGGAAAATTTAGCTGGTTGAAATGGCCGGGTTGAAATTGTGAGTTGATATCGGTGTCTTTTACAATTAGTAATCTATCAGAACAATTCAAATTAATTAATATTAAAGATTTAGTGTGATCCTTTCTTATTGTTGCCATAAATTTCCGTGATACTACAGAATGCCTGTATTCTTAGTCTTAACCACTACGCGACAGTGTCCGCTTCAGCATCAAAATTTCCCGTGAAGTTGATACATTACACTGTCAGTAGAATTAGCACAAAACAAAACACGGCCGGTAAATATATAAGGGGCATGTCATTTTGTTTTGTTAACTTTGTGCTATTAAATGTATATAATCATATTCAATATATACAAACAAACAAAATGCCAACGTCAAAACAAAGTTCCTTTCTTAAAGATTTTGTGCTTTATTTCACTAATTTAGTTGAGTAAGATAGTCTTTTTGCCGTGAAAAACGCCGCGAATAAAACCTCCCTTATTTTCACCTCAATTCCCTTGAAATGATTACAAAACTCACAGATTAGCCTCCAAGAATTCTGGAATGTATACTCTAACTGGGGATTACCGTTGCTATTTTTAGACGTAAACAAAGTATCACAGATGAGAGATTACCACGAAAGTAAATATTGAAAAAAACAAAGTATTGTTCCGCGTCTGCAACGTTAACAAACATGTAGGCTACAGTAGACCTACGGGATTTTGCTAGAGATTTTAAACGCTGGGTCATATCGTACATGCATGATTGTGATCAGCAGCAAACATTGATCGTAGTAAAATAGCCATAACCTAGAACATCGCCTTTGAAATTACTGGCACTAGTAAAAGTTCAATCCAACTCACCGCTACAAGTTGAACCGGATAAGCGGCTAGAACATTTCTTCGTATTTAACGCATGCGCAAAAGCTTTTATCTCAATTCTAGCCTAGAGGGGGTACCCAAATTGACGCTTGACTACGGAGAAATCGGATCGTTCTGTGAAAGATATCGAAAAACCAAATCTAACATTTTCTTCAGAATAACTTGGACTACCTATGTTTGGAGTTTCAATTTGTCAGCTTCAAGCGTTAATTCTCCAGGGTGAATTATATAGTAACTGATGGTCAAAATGCCGATTTTGGCGTGTTTGACCCCAAATATCTCCATAACTAGATTTTCCTTAGATATAACAGATATACAAGGAGGTAGATCGCGCTGAGTAAAAGTTATGGAGCCGTTTTTTTCGCACTCAAATCGCTGTTATATCCGGCAAATTAGCTACATTTAGCCGTGTTAACATTTCGTTCAGAGGAACGATAACAGAGTTATCGCCCCTCTAACACTTCAATCCATACAAAATGACTTATAAAATACCGAGCTTACAGTTATAATAATACAAAATGACTTATAAAATACCGAGCTTACAGTTATTATAATACAAAGTGACATATAAAATACCGAGCTTACAGTTATTATAATACAAAATGACTTATAAAATATTGAGCTTACAGTTATTATAATACAAAGTGACATATAAAATACCGAGCTTACAGTTATTATAATACAAAGTGAGATATAAAATACCGAGCTTACAGTTATTATAATACAATATGACTTATAAAATACCGGGGTTACATTTCTTTTTACACAGCCAATAACATTTTCTATTCGACGTTTCGATGACTAGTACGATATGTACACTGTCACCTTCAATGCTGATGAAGTTGACTGTGTACATATCGTACTTGTCATCGAAACATCACATAGAAAATTTGATTTGTTTTATAAAAAAAAACTTTTCATAATTAATAATAGAAAAGTGCACGTGTCTGATAAGATATCGGGCTTACAGTAATTATAATACATGTTGACTTATAAATTACCGAGCTTACAGCAATTATGATACAAAATGTCTTATAAAATACTAAGCACACAGTAAATATAATACAAAATGACTTATAAGAAATCGGGCTTACCGTTCCTACAAAACTTACTGTTCTTACTATACAATCAGGCAATTAAGATATCGGACTTACAGTTCTTACTATATAAATTGACTTATGTAATACTAGGCTAACAGTTCTTACAAAACTTAGAGAACTACCGTTATGTAAGTCAGCGACAGATACATATACATTTAGGTGGGGAAAACAACAATGCCTCAATGATCTGCTTAAATAAAAAAAACGTTCTGAAATTCGTCTTGCCCAACTTTTTTCCAACGCTTAACAGGTAGTATATGCTATGTCAATTTAGTTTGAAGAGAAATAGACCTGATATTATTAGCGTTACGCACGTTAAGATTGTTTTGTTATATATGATTAGGTTCTTTCAGAAACAATGACGTCACCGAATGGCAAACGGGTCGTCATCTTTGCGTCCTTTTGAACCTGGTCTATATGATTATACAATAGTAGTACATTGTATAAGAACTTGTCACGTTTCCAGTCGTGTCCGCAGTTGTCCGTGTGCTTGATAAGGCTCCTAGTACTTAAATGTGATCTCCATCAGAGGTCAATAGTCAGTGATCACACATAGCCATGAAGTTCCTCATCGTCACCGCCTGCCTGGCAGCATATGTTGGTAATTATCAGACGATTGCTCTTTTTTTCTATCTTTCTTTTACTCTCTATCTGTCATCCAGGGTACATTTCCTTTCTTTTTATCAATTGGTTCGATTTCAAAGATATTAATTAGTTACATTGTAAGTAATGATGTATGCATATTCGTTTCTTTTTCAGTAATAGCAACCCTTTTGATATAATCTTAAAGAGCTATTGTCATATTATAATGAAATTGATCTTGTCATTATTGGCAAAGGCGTTTTGACTAAATCAACATTATTTTGTTACTTAGCAAGACCATCGGGTATTTATTTTGATAATAGTTGTGGCGACGCGTATAGGTTCATGCTAATTCATATTAATTTACTCACTGACAGTTTTATCAATCATCATAGAATTGCGCCTATTAGTATACTAATATATAAAGCCTAAATAAAATCCCTGATAAATATAAAAGTATCAAAATAACGTTTAAATTGCTGTGCACGTATTTGAGGGATCGTTCTCTCAAATGTCATTATGTTCCTCGTGAAATGTAGTTATGCATGGTGCATTTCAAGACTGGGACTGAAGAACAACAGTGCCACCATTCTTGTCTGATATTTATCAAAATAAAAATGTAGGTTCCCGTAGTAACATATGTGGTACTATGCTAGTAAATAGGTCAAACGACAGCTTCACGATGAAAGAAACTTGATACCACAGGATGCATTTCTTGTTACCATAGCTGTAATCCAACAGATAAGAGAAAAGAAGAGAAAAGATCAATCGGACAAAGAACCAATAACAATAATACTACGGTGCTCTTCAATATCCTGCCGGGGTCTTGTGTGTCGCAAAACAACCAATCGATACATACACAGTTCTTTAGGTCAATTTGGATTTCCGTCTTGTTTACCTTTAGCATCACTGATGAGTCCTAGAGGGACGAACGGCTGTATGGTGCAGCTTAATTCTTTTTGATGTACTGTACCTATTACCAACTTTTATAGGTTCAATCACGTGAGTGTGTCTGCTACGTTTATCTTTCAAGATACAAGGTGGTAGATACTACTTACGGATTTCACAGTCCCTGAGGTTTGCCGTTACCCTTTATAGCCACAGTTTATATCTTTTAAGTAGAAGTTTGGTTCGGTACTCACTCTTTACTCATTTGAAATGTTCCTGTACACCTTAGTTTAATATGAATCAGGGTTTCATGAACACCTTCGTATGTTAGGTGCAATCACGCGTGTGTATTTTACATCCATCTGCCTTCATCAGAGAAGGCACGTTAGTCCAGTGGTCGGACGCCGGGCTCATGACCGAAGGGTTGCGGGTTCGAGTCGCGGTGCGGCACTGTGTTGTATCTTTGTGCAAGAGATTTTACTTCGCTTGTTTCAGTCTACTCAGCTGTAAATGAGTGCATGGTTGGGCAGTGCTAGAATTGTCGAATGCTAGCTGTACGCGCCGAAATGGCAGAACCGGCTGTATGCTCCCCAGGGAGTTGAGAAAGATGTTGGTTGGTTGCAAAGACCCTATAACCACGGATAATTATTTGGGAACCGCTTTGAGACGACCATAAAGCGGTATATAAGAACCTCGAATTCCTATATTATTATTATTCGTACGCGATCCCTGAACAGATGTCGCTACATTAGGACTGTTAGGCCACATAGCACACTGAAAGTTGTAATTTAAAAATACATGTGTTTTATTGTATATGTTAATTTACTGAAATTTTGTCTAGAGTGTGAACTATATAAAACAAAATTAAGATGGCCTCCACAGTGATATTCTTGCCAATGTGACGATTGGTAAATAAAATCAACAAGTATAAACGTATAAATCAATTAAACATATCATATTTGCCAGAATCGTACCCAAAGTACTCGCACAAATAAATACACCACGATATAAGCCCTCTCCACAAATGATAACAAACAAATTTAATGACAAACATATAATTGAATAGTAATGAATGCCAACAGTAGTAAGTATTGTTAATGAATAAACAGATATACAGTTCCGATCAGAATTCTCAACACAAAAATGAGTTATTAATGAAAATATCTCCACAATTCTAAGAATACCAACTGTTTCTATAAAATGCCTTTTACTTTATCAAATGAAATGGACTACACTGTTATATTTATAGTTATGTTAATGTTTGTTTGTACTTGGCAGTATTCGTGATAAGTGAGCGTTGCCATGAACATGACGATCTAGAGGCGGTGTGTGTACTGACAGCCTGCAACGGCAACAACACCAAAATGATTTGTGAACATGATGAGTGCACGTGTGCTGTTGATACTGATATAAGTAAGTAACGAATACATCGCTATATATATATAATTTAACCTCGTAATAATGCCCCTCATTCCAGTTGCCACCTACCACCAATCTGTTTCAAAATCCGAATTTCGTTTTTTCCTTCAGAGTTTCTTAGAAGTATCCTTCGAATCATCGCTATACCTCTTTATGACAACAAAACTTCCTTTAGATAAATTGTGGCACTATGACTATAACAACTGAACAGCTGTATATAATGTCTTTATTATGTTTCCCTGTGAACGATAAGATCACAAAAATGAGAGGCAAATTGTACACTTCAGGAGGTTCCACCCTTTCGCAATTAACCAGCAGTTTTCAATAAAAGTTTCACATAATGGTAATGTCACTATGTAACTATGTAGAGACGATTTTATGAATATCTAAGCATTCCGATATACTTGGGATTTTTTTGTAAAAAATACCGAAAAAATATTTTTTTGTCAAATTTAACACTTTCAAATTTTTTGAGTGTGTGGCATTGTTCATAACTATTACAACAATAAAATATTGAAAAGAAACATTGCTAATTTACCCTTCAAATATTTTATTTATCATAAATATATCTAAAACATGTTACAAAAAACGTTTTTTTTATTGAAATTGTATGGATAAAAGTTACTAAATACAAGCTAAAAGCAAACAAGACACATAGTTTCATACAAAAAGCGTGAAAAATTGAACCAAATACACACAGTCTTTATAATTCATTTATTTTACATTTTACAATGACTTTGATCCTGATGAGTGGTGTCTACCTTGAAAAATTTCGGAACTTTTTGCAGAGGGATAGAATTTATGCAATAACACTTATTTTATTTTCTATACCAAAAACGACGGAAATATATTAAACTACTATATTTAATTGGAACAAAATTACTCTCAATCATGTACATTTGGACATCATTCCATAGCCCGCTTACGCATGGTATATTTACATGTCAGGTACATATGTAACCGTAGCCTATCGCATGGTATGCCGTATCACGTACATGCACTCGCATTTTAGAGGGATCTTGATTTTTTACAAACTACTATTTTCACAGTGTTATTGTAATTGCATTTGTGAAACGATTTATCAGACAGAGCGTAACTCGCTCGACAACAAAAGTCGTAGCGACCAAGAGCTTGTGAAGTACTGTTAGCACGTGATACGTACAGGTGAGGTCGGTAAACAAAACACATCAGTCTGCATTTCATGCGCCTCATTTACGACCTTCTTGAAGTCGTCTGATCATATGTCAGTGTCCTCCCGTGAGTAAATTAATGTCATTGTATCATAAGCTTTATTTCTGAAGTAAGTGTAATTACACATTTCCAAGTTAATCGTCACGCACGTGTACTATTGTTTATCCGGTGTTACTATAATTTTCACTACGGTATGGGAATGCCCGATACGCAATACGGAAATGACGACACGAAAATACGACAGGAAAACATGTTTATAACGAAGGGTGGGAAGTCCTTAATAAGACTTCAAAAAATGATGACGTCACGTAATGCATGTAGCTTATTACCTGTCACCAAACAAAAATAGGGCGTCGTCATGGAGTTTCGGCCAGCGATATGTTTAACAAAATAAATATCTGGAATTTTATTTCAATGAAAAAGGGCAACACACAGAGAGCGCTAACTGCATATTTACGGAAAATGTAGGTTTTATCATAAATATGAACATATTTTCTTTTTCATGCCGTGTTGCAATATCGTCAACAGAAGCTTTGAACAGAGCCAAAATCATGTTACCTCTATCAGCATATTGATGGAAATGTGATTTCAGAAACAAACTCTAAAGGATCTTGATAAGATTTCGTCCGAAACAAACTTTTTATTTATCAGCTGAAATGGGTTCCATATCTTCTCAATATTTGTCAAAATTCTGTTCATCTCTTCGAGCGACTTAAATGAAAATAAGGTGTGTAGGAAGATTTGGGACGGATTTAAAGTTTCAAGATTGAGGTAAATAAAGACTGTACGTTTCGTATAGATTAACATGCAAAACAATTAACATAACATTTGATTAACCAATAACATATCAACATCAGATATCGAGCACATGCCGCTAATGAAGCTAAATTTTACAGCTGTTTTTATATATCGAATGTTTTTCCGGTATTACATTGTATTTTACGTACTTAACCAATTAACACCATATTTGATCATATTTTTCTGTTGTATTCTAATGAGATCCACCCTTATTGTCATTGCAAATACATTTTGAAATGTTGATTACATATACATGAGAAGGTTCCCACAGATATTGAGATAAATGAAATTATCATATTGTTTTGTAGACAATGAAAAACGGCTATTTTACAGAAATAAAAGCCAGTTGCTTTAAAATAGAATGTTTTTCTAAAAACTTTGATATCTTTTTTTTTTTCAATATTATTGAAAAATTAGGATATCTGTAACATGACACAAATAAAATGACTATGTGCATTTGCCTTTCCCTCACAGCTTGTCTGCTTGACGTAATTATTTTTCAAATTTGTTTTCATGAGATTCCTCCATATTTTTACATCTATAATATATATTGGGAGAGTTCTTATTAATATTTAGGAAAAATAGATTTTCAGGGTGTTTTGTTAGAAAATGAAAAAACGCTTTACGCTACAGAAATAAGGTTCAGTTTCTTATTACTTTAGAATGACGTCATCAAAGATGTCTGGGAATCTGTCTAACATATTCATAGAGCTTCTCTTTGTGCCGGTTGACATTACTTGAATATTTTGCTAACTTTGAATTGATTGATAAATCAAGATTTTAAATGTTTGTAACTGACCACTATCCGTACATCTACCTACTATTGTCTTCCCCTACAGCTTGTCAACAGAAATCAGATTGTGAACATTTACCGTCCGACTGTGATGAACACGGACCACACCACCCACCTCACCACCGAAGGGCCCCTCCCAAGCCTGGCATGGAATGGCATTGTTTGGACAGTCGCTGTAAATGTTTCTAGAGTACTCTACAATGTATATGCTACTTGGGTACTTTGGGTTTTGGAAGAAATAAAAACGTCATTTGTTGAACTGTTTTCGTATATCTTTATCTATAATTCCCGTGAAATATCTACAGATGGATTAATGAAAGGAACCAATATCATTTTTTTATTGAGGGAAATCCAATAATTATCGATTTATTCAATTTGATTTCTTAACTCTGAAAGCCGGGAATACAGTAATTGTCATGTAAAGTGACTTATAAGACGCCAGGAATACAGTACTCACCATTCAAAGTGACCTATCTGACGCACGGAATACAGTACTAATAATTCAATAAGACCTATCAGACGCCAGGAATACAGAACTTACAAATCAAAGTGACCTATCAGACGCCTGGAATACCTTACACACAATTCAAAGTAACCTATAAAACGCAAGGCATACATTAACTTATATCAAATGTGACCTATTAGACGTCAGAAATATTGAAATTATAATGCAAAGATACAATTAAGATACAGTACAAAAAGTAATTTTAAAAAAAACAATTTAGATTCAAGTTGCGCATTTATCATGAAACAAAGCGACAATTAACAGTCATACAGTTGTTACAATACAAACTTATTTATCAGACAGTTTTTATAGGTGTTTTGTTGTAAGTTTATCGACTGTCGACCAAATAATGACTGCAAATGGCAAAATCTCTCGAAATATATACAGTTTAAATACTCAAAATAAGGCAACTGCCTACAGGACCAGAAATGACAACAACGTGCAGTTTGTTGTCAAATACAGACATATAAGCATCACTGTACAAATGATAAGAATAACTGTTATAAACAATATTGTCTTAACATTTTACTTGGTAGAATATATTTAACCAACATATGTTTGTATATTATGATGGCATATTTAACTCGGTATTCTAAAATGTTTAAAAAGAATAACCAACTAATGCCATAATCGGCCGCATCGTTAATTATTTTTTCCAAACATTGACTTACCCTCATCGCATATTTCAACATAATTCATGCACATACGTTGATTATTTTTAAATACATTATACTATATGATGAGGTTCTTTAAGAAACAATGACGAACGGTTCGTTATCCCGCCGTCGTTTTGAACCTGACCTTTCTGTGTCTGTTGCACTGTTGAAGGAATATTGACCTGGTCGAAATCGTGCTTGTTCGTTTGCTAGCTTGCTTGATAAGACATCTAGTTCATAGATATAATCTCAATCTGTGGGTCAGTGCTCAGTCGTCATTTCCAAACATAGCCATGAGGTTCGTTATCCTTACCGTCAGCCTGGCAGCTTTGTTTGGTAAATATTTCGCTCGTACTGGGCGCCTTTTCTCTCTTTTCCTCTCGGGCGCATATGCATGCATCCCTTCTTTTTGATTTTTTTTAGTTCAAATATACTTATTTTTGCAGTCGAAGTAGAAGTACATTGTTAAAGGAAGTTTCAAGTGAAAATAGCAAATTAGAAAATATATTTTGATATATTGAATCACATTCAGGTAATTATTTTGCAACAAACTCTTTATCGGCTGGTTTGTCCTTTCGTATGAGGTTTTAGTTTATTTTTTCGCATTTTTCGCTGTCATGTCTTAACTTCTGACTTTAACACATTTTTTATGAAGTTCAGTGCCACTTAAATTCATAAACCACCGAATTTAAAATCTTAGTAATCTAAATGAGTGTTAATCACAATATATTTGCTTTTTAGTAATACCCCAAGATAAAAAGAAAATATTGGTTCTACTCAAGAATAAATGTACAATATTTATGTACCTCAAAACTGTACAATAACCATTGGTATACCACTATGAAAAGTATATCGTTATAATTGACTGATACGTTTTGACTTATTTGGCATCAATGTCTTATTATCGTCTAATTTTTTGTTAAGACTATAGCGCATTCAAAATAGTTTTTTACATGGTCATTATGCTGAAGTTACGCGTAGACGTATTGTTCGGTTATTTCAAGTAAGTATCTGATGATTTTGTCAAATGACATACACTAGCCTTCATGTACAGTATATAAAAATCTAACATGTTTTAAAAACAATAGTATAAATACTTTATCTTCAGTTATAGAAACCAGAACTCTGTGCTTGGTCTCCAACGAAGAAGAGTTCCAATTTTCCCCGCTTTTACAATAGCAAATATTTATATGCGAAATTTATTCATTTTAACTTTGCTTCGCCTTGCCCCTGATTCTATCCGGGGAATTTCCATGAAGGAAAAACAAACCTACTCGGATTTTACTTGATATTTGCCAAAGGTTGCTACTTTCGAGCATCAAAAATCCTACATACGAGAATAACTGTTGATTAAATATAGAGTAAATAGCATAACTTTAAAAGGTAGTTAACTATCAATGCCTGCACTCAACAGAAAAGTGCTGCGACTCTCAATATTTAATGAGTTTATATTTCGTATTTGATTAACGCAATAATTTGTTGGTTTATTAAGCATATACATGTACCTACATAATAATAATTCGAGGTCATTATTCACAGCTTTATCACAACCTAGTTTGTAGGTCGTCTCAAAGCGGTTCACAAATACTTATCCGTGGTTATAGGGCATCTGCAACCAGCCGATGACATAACAGATTGTGAATATCTTAATGACTTCTTCGTATAAAGTATCTTACGCTATATTATATCACAGTCAAACTTTTTATTTACAATGTCTAAGAATGTATAAAAGTTAATTGTTCCTTTACTCACTAATTCATTAAGCCAATCAATCAAATATTCATTTATGGATTGGTTGCCACAAGTGGACATTCACTGAAGGATTTCCGTATTTATCTATCACGCAGTCATTCATTTGTGCATTTAAACATAAAACCAAAATGTTAACATATATTTTGTGTATCAATATATCATCCTACATCCTATATTCAGTCACTTGCATAAACAGCTCTTATATCGTATTCTCCTGACCAATATATGTATTGGATTTTATGTTTAATTTCTCTGATGCAGGCGTTGATCCTGGATGTATTTTTAGTTCAGTCATCTAACAATAGCACATAGCCTTATATGTAGCACATAGTCTTATATATAGCATATAGCCTTATATATAGCACATAGCCTTATATATAGCACATAGCCTTAAATATAGCACATAGCCTTATATATATAGCATATAGTCTTATATATAGCACATAGCCTTATATATAGCACATAGCCTTATATATAGCATATAGTCTTATATATAGCATATAGCCTTATATATAGCACATAGCCTTATATATAGCATATAGTCTTATATATAGCACATAGCCTTATATATAGCATATAGTCTTATATATAGCACATAACCCTATTTAAGCATACAGTCTTATATATAGCACATATCCTTATATATAGCATATAGTCTTATATATAGCATATAGTCTTATATATCGCATATAGTGTTATATATAGCATATAGTCTTATATATAGCATATAGCCTTATATATAGAACATAGCCTTATATATAGCATATAGTCTTATATATAGCACATAGCCTTATATATAGCACATAACCTTATGTATAGAATATAGTCTTATATATAGCACATAGCCTTATATATAGCATATAATCTTATATATAGCATATATTCTTATATATAGCATATAGTCTTATGTATAGCATATAGTCTTATTTATAGCACATAGCCTTATAAATAGCATATATTCTTATATATAGCACATAGCCTTATATATAGCACATAGCCTTATATATAGCATAAAGTCTTATATATAGCACATAGCCTTATAAATAGCATATAGTCTTATATATAGCACATAGCCTTATATAAAGCATATAGTCTTATATATAGCACAAAGCCTTATATATAGCATATAGTCTTATATATAGCATATAGTCTTATATAAAGCATATAGTCTTATATATAACATATAATCTTACATATAGCATATAGTCTTACATATAGAATATAATCTTATATAAAACATATAGTCTTATATATAGCATATAATCTTATATATAGCACATAGCCTTATATATAGCATATAATCTTATATATAGCATATATTCTTATATATAGCATATAGTCTTATGTATAGCATATAGTCTTATATATAGCATATAGTCTTATATAAGGCATATAGTCTTATATATAGCATATAATCTTATATATAGCATATAGTCTTATATATAGCATATTGTCTTATATATAGCATATTGTCTTATATATAGCACATAGCCTTATATATAGCATATAGTCTTATATATAGCATATATTCCTATATATAGCATATATTCTTATATATAGCATATAATATTATATATAGCATATAATATTATATATAGCATATAATATTATATATAGCATATAATATTATATATAGCATATAATATTATATATAGCATATAGGCCTATATATAGCATATATTCCTATATATAGCATATAATCTTATATATAACATATAGTCTTATATATAGCATATAGTCTTATATATAGCATATAGTCTTTGGTTTTTTAAACTTTTAAACTGCTTTATATTTATATGTCAATATGTTCCTCTCCAACCGTATTTTTCAATTAGAAATAGAAATGTATACACACGCATTGCATACCTATTTGTTACAGCCCCAGTCTAATTGAATTTGTTTTTAATCCTTCTCCTGTATATTAAATATTTTCAAAAAGTTTTTCCGAAATAACCTTTTTGTTTTTCTATCATTTTTTTGCTTTCCATTACAAGGCATAATTGGAAATACATATAACAAAGTACATGTCAAGGTATGTCTGAGATACAGTAAGCAATCATTTAGAATTTTTATATTTGATTCAGTCTGTTTACATTCATATCCATTTATATCGTACTGATTATGATAGCTTGTTATATTTTATGCATACAGAGAATACTTTTATACACAAACATTTATGAAAGCAGATTTTTTCCTATGTAATACACATTTATTAAAGTTACTAGTGTTACATTATTCGTGAAATTTTTTATTGTTCGAAAACTATATTCTGTCTAAAACCTCACAAAAAATAGTACATATCGTTATTGCAATAAGGTAGAATTTCCGCTCAGCTACAAATGGACTACAGTTTTTTCCAATATTTGAAAGTGACCTTATTTTCTACTTAAGTATATGTCTTAATCATCATTGCGACGGACATTTATAGTTTTTGCAAAAACATATGATTATGAAACATTATTATTATAGAAAAATGAAAATTGAACAGACAGTTTGTATTTGACAGTGTACGCAGTAAGTGAGCACTGTCATGAGCATGATGACCTCGACGCGACGTGTATATTGACATCCTGTAACGGCAACAACACAATAATGGTATGCGCGCATGATGAATGCACGTGTGCTATTAACCCAAATGTCCGTAAGTACCAAATACATACACACACACATATATAGATGTATACATTTATATACTTCTAATTAAACACTTATAGATCAAAGTAATGTGTCCTCAAAAAGGAAAATGAACAGCTGATCATGATTGTATTTATTGCCACAAATCACACATCATTAGCCTCTAATACCAATCATCATAATCGTGATTTTGAAGTTTGACCTTAACCCTTTCACCACTGTAAACCATAATTGACTCATCCAGATGAAAGTATGGTAGAGTCTAGTAAAGTTACCTAGGGGTGAAAGGGTTAATCAACCCGAATTCAACTTTGTTATAGAGATCTTAGCGATGAAACACCAAAACATGTTTTTCGCAATAATGACGTAATCTTTGATGTCTGGAACTTCGTCAATGATATTCAGGAAACTGAAACCAAGTAACGTTTGCCATTAGTTACGTATTTTACTAAGTTTGAATTGATTGATAAATCGGATTTTAAATGTTTGTAACTGACCACTATTCAAATATATCATACGTTTGATTTTCCTTCACAGCTTGTTTGCAGAAATCAGATTGTGAACAATTGTCGGGATGTGTTGAACACCACCGCAAACCTGGCAAACAATGGCATTGTCTGGATAGTGCCTGTAAATGTTTCTAAAGCACTTTGGAATGTATTTGGGTACATATAAATGTATCCTTGATACCATATTTTGGTCATCAATAAAAATATTTCATATATATATTTGATGTTCCTGTGATATATACGAATGTCCCAATGACCGGACACATTTTCAAATCAAACAGATATAAATTAAGATCTAGGGAGTAAAAAACACTAACTGCTACTTAATTCAGTGTAGTTTCTTCATTCCAGAAGTCTAACAGCCCGTGAGTTTCAATGCATATAGTAATTGCAATACAAAGTGACCTACAAGATACCAGACATCCTATAATTATACTAAAATTACTATTAAAATGTACTTACAATAACAAATTTTACATAAGATAACAGTAAAGTAATACGTTACTTACAATACAACATTTTATATAAGCAACAGTAATACGTTACTTACAATACAAAGTTTTATATAAGACAATAGTTATACGTTACTTACAATACAAAGTTGTATATAAGACAACAGTTATATGATACTTACAATACAAAGTTTTATTCAATAATAATAATAATTCGAGGTTCTTATATACCGCTTTATCACAACCTAGTTCGTTGATCGTCTCATAGCGGTTCACATATTATTATCCGTGGTTAAAGGGCCTTTGCAACCAGCCAATATCTTTCTCAACTATCTGGGGAGCATACAACCAGTGCTGCCATTTCGGCGCTCACAGCTAGCATTCTATATGTCTAGCACTGCCCAACCACGTACTCATTTACAGCTGAGTAGACTGGAACAAGCGAGGTAAAGTACCTTGCTCAAAGATACAACACAGTTCCGTGCCGTGCGGTAACTCGAACCCGCGACCCTTCGGTCTTGAGCCCGGCGTAGTACCACTAGAATACCGTGCCACAAAGGCAACAATAAATCGTTACTTGCAATATAAAGTTTTATATAAGACAACAGTATTACGTTACTTATAATACACAGTTTAATATCAAATTACAGTAATACGTTACGTGCAATGCAAAGTTGTAAAGACAAAAGTAATGCGTTACTTACAATACACAGTTTTATTTAAGAAAACAGCTGTACGTTACTTACAATACAAAGTTCTATATAAATCAACAGTTATATGTTACTTACAGTACAAAGTTCTATATCAGACAACAGTTATATGTTACTTACAATACAAATATGTATATCAGAAAACAGTACTATGTTATCTACAACACACAGTTTTATATAAGACAACAGAAATACGTTACTTAAAATTTAAGGTTTTTATATCAGACAACAGCTATACGTTACTAACAATACAAATATGAATATCAGAAAATAGTACTATGTTATCTACAATGCAAAGATTTATATAAGACAACAGTTATACGTTACTTACAATACACAGTTTTATATAGGACAACAGTAATACGTTACTTATAATACACAGTTTTATATAAGACAACAGTTATACGTTACTTACAATACAAAGATTAAGATCAGAAAACAGTACTATGTTATTTACAATACAAAGATTTATATCAGACAACAGTGAGACGTTACTTACAATACAAAGGTTTATATAAGACAACAGTAATGCGTTACTGACAATACCAAGGTTTATATAAGACAACAGTAATACGTTACTTACAATACACAGTTTTATATTAGACAACAGTTATACGTTACTTACAATTCAATGTTTTATATTAGACTACAGCTATACGTTACTTATAACAACAGTTTTACATAAGACAACAGTTATACGTTACTTACAATTCAATGTTTTAGACTACAGCTATACGTTACTTATAATACAAAGATTAAGATTAGAAAACAGTACTATGTTATTTACAATACAAAGATTTATATAAGACAACAGTTATACGTTACTTACAATACACAGTTTTATATAAGACACTAGTAATACGTTACTTATAATACAAAGTTTTATCTTAGACAACAGTTATACGTTACTTACAATACACAGTTTTATATTAGACAACAGTTATACGTTACTTACAATACAAAGATTAAGATCAGAAAACAGTACTATGTTATTTACAATACAAAGATTTATATAAGACAACAGTTATACGTTACTTACAATACACAGTTTTATATAAGACACCAGTAATACGTTACTTATAATACACAGTTTTATATAAGACACCACTTATGCGTTACTTACAATACACAGTTTTATATTAGACTACAGCTATACGTTACTTATAATACATGGTTTATTATAAGACAACAGTAAAACGTTACTTACAATTCAATGTTTTATATTAGACTACAGCTATACTTTACTTATAATACACAGTGTTATATAAGACACCACTTATGCGTTACTTATAATACAACGTTTTATATTAGACTACAGCTATACTTTACTTACAATACAAAGATTAATATCAGAAAACAGTTATACGTTACTAACAATACACAGTTTTGAATAAGATAATAGTAACACGTCATTTACAATACAAAGTTCTATATAATACATCAGTAATATGTTACTTACAATACAGTATTACGTTACTTATAATACATCGTTTATTATAAGACAACAGTAATGCGTTACTTACAACACACAGTTTTATAAAAGACACCAGTTATGCGTTATTTACAATAAACAGTTTTATATTAGACTACTTATAATACACAGTGTTATATAAGACACCACTTATGCGTTACTTATAATACACCGTTTTATATACGACACCAGTAATACGGTACTTATAATACACAGCTTAATATCAAATTATAGTAATACGTTACGTGCAATGCAAAGTTGTATAGACAAAAGTAATACGTTACTTACAATGCAAAGTTATATAAGACACCACTTATTCGTTACTTACAATACACAGTTTTGAATAAGATAATAGTAACACGTCATTTACAATACAAAGTTCTATATAAGACAACAGTATTACGTTATTTACAATCACAGTTTAATATCAAATTATAGTAATACGTTACGTGCAATGCAAAGTTGTATAGACAAAAGTAATACGTTACTTGCAATACAAAGTTTTATATAAGACAACAAAGTTCTATATAAGACAACAGAAATACGTTACTTACAATGCAAAGTTATATAAGACACCAGTTATACGTTACTAACAATACACAGTTTTGAATAAGATAATAGTAACACGTCATTTACAATACAAAGTTATATATAAGACATCAGTAATATGTTACTTACAATACAGTATTACGTTACTTATAATACAAAGTTTTATATTATACAACAGTTATACGTAACTAACAATACAAAGATTAAGATTAGAAAACAGTACTATGGTATTTACAATACAAAGTTCTATATAAGACTAATACGTTACTTATAATACATCGTTTATTATAAGACAACAGTAATGCGTTACTTACAACACACAGTTTTATAAAAGACACCAGTTATGCGTTATTTACAATAAACAGTTTTATATTAGACTAGAGCTATACGTTACTTATAATTCACGGGTTTATATAAGACACCAGTTATACGTTACTAACAATACAAAGATTAAGATCAGAAAACAGTACTATGGTATTTACAATACAAAGTTCTATATAATACATCAGTAATATGTTACTTACAATACAACATCTTATATAAGCAACAGCTATACGTTACTTACAATACAAAGTTTTATATAAGACATCAGAAATACGTTACTTACAATACAAAGTTCTATATAAGACATCAGTAATATGTTACTTACAATACAACATTTTATATAAGCAACAGCTATACGTTACTTACAATACAAAGTTCTATATAAGACAACAGCTATACGTTACTTACAATACAAAGTTCTATATAAGACAACAGTTATACGTTACTTACAATACAAAGTTTCATTCAATAATAATAATAATTCGAGGTTCTTATATACCGCTTTATCACAACCTTGTTCGTTTGATCGTCTCAAAGCGGTTCACAAATTATTATCCGTGGTTAAAGGGCCTTTGCAACCAGCCAATATCTTTCTCAACTCTCTGGGGATTATACAACCAGTGCTGCCATTTCGGCGCTCACAGCTAGCATTCTATATTTCTAGCACTGCCCAACCACGTACTCATTTACAGCTGAGTAGACTGGAACAAGCGAGGTAAAGTATCTTGCTCAAAGATACAACACAGTGCCGTGCCGTGCCGTGCGGTAACTCGAACCCGCGACCCTTCGGTCAAGAGCCCGGCGTAGTACCACTAGAATACCGTGCCACAAAGGCAACAATAAATCGTTACTTGCAATAGAAAGTTTTATATCAGACAACATTGATACGTTACTTACAATATAAAGTTTTATATAAGACAACAGTATTACGTTATTTACAATCACAGTTTAATATCAAATTACAGTAATACGTTACTTACAATGCAAAGTTGTATAGACAAAAGTAATACGTTACTTACAATACACAGTTTTATATAAGACAACAGAAATACGTTACTTTAAATTTAAGGTTTTTATATCAGACAAAAGTTATACGTTACTTACAATACAAATATGAATATCAGAAAATAGTACTATGTTATCCACAATACAAAGTTTTATATAAGACAAAAGAAATACGTTACTTACAAAATACAGTTTTATATAAGACACCAGTAATACGTTACTTATAATACACAGTTTTATATAAGACAACAGAAATACGTTACTTACAATACACAGCTTTATATAAGACACCAGTTATACGTTACTAACAATACAAAGGTTTATATAAGACAACAGTTATACGTTCCTAACAATACAAAGATTAATATCGGAAAACAGTAATACGGTACTTACAATACACAGCTTTATATAAGACACCAGAAATACGTTACTTACATTACACAGTTTTGCATAAGACACCAGTAATGCGTTACTTATAATACACAGTTTTATATAAGACACCAGTAATACGTTACTTATAATTCACGGTTTTATATAAGACAACAGTTATACGTTACTTACAATTCAAAAGTTTATATAAGACACCAGTAATGCGTTACTTATAATACACAGTTTTATATAAGACACCAGTTATACGTTACTAACAATACAAAGATTAATATCGGAAAACAGTTATACGTTACTAACAATACACAGTTTTATATCAGACAACAGTTATGTTATACGTTACTTACATTACACAGTTTTGCATAAGACACCAGTAATACGTTACTTATCATACACAGTTTTATATTAGACAACAGTTATACGTTACTAACAATACAAAGATTAATATCAGAAAACAGTAATACGTTACTTACAATACACAGTTTTATATAAGACAACAGAAATACGTTACTTACAATACACAGTTTTATATAAGACACCAGTAATACGTTACTTATAATACACAGTTTTATATCAGACAACAGTTATACGTTACTAACAATACAAAGATTAATATCAGAAAACAGTTATACGTTACTTACAATATACAGCTTTATATCAGAAAACAGTAATACGTTACTAACAATACAAAGGTTTATATAAGACAACAGTAATACGTTACTTATAATACACAGTTTTATATCAGACAACAGTTATACGTTACTAACAATACAAAGATTAATATCAGAAAACAGTAATACGTTACTTACAATACACAGTTTTATATCAGACAACAGTTATACGTTACTAACAATACACAGTTTTATATAAGACAACAGTAATACGTTATTTACAATACACAGTTTTATATAAGACAACAGAAATACGTTACTTACAATACACAGTTTTATATAAGACACCAGTAATACGTTACTTATAATACACAGTTTTATATCAGACAACAGTTATACGTTACTAACAATACAAAGATTAATATCAGAAAACAGTTATACGTTACTTACAATATACAGCTTTATATCAGAAAACAGTAATACGTTACTAACAATACAAAGGTTTATATAAGACAACAGTAATACGTTACTTACATTACACAGTTTTGCATAAGACACCAGTAATACGTTACTTATAATACACAGTTTTATATCAGACAACAGTTATACGTTACTAACAATACAAAGATTAATATCAGAAAACAGTAATACGTTACTTACAATACACAGTTTTATATAAGACACCAGTAATACGTAACTTATAATACACAGTTTTATATAAGACAACAGTTATACGTTACTTACAATACAAAGTTTTATATAAGACAACAGTTATACGTTACTAACAATACACAGTTTTATATAAGACAACAGTAATACGTTATTTACAATACACAGTTTTATATAAGACAACAGAAATACGTTACTTACAATACACAGTTTTATATAAGACAACAGAAATACGTTACTTACAATACAAAGTTTTATATAAGAGAACAGAAACACGTTACTTACAATTCAAGGTTTTATATAAGACAACAGTAATACGTTACTTACAATACAAAGTTTTATATAAGACAACAGTTATACGTTACTAACAATACACAGTTTTATATCAGACAACAGTTATACGTTACTTACAATACACAGTTTTAAATAAGACAACAGTAATACGTTATTTACAACACACAGTTTTATATAAGACAACAGAAATACGTTACTTACAATACACAGTTTTATATAAGACAACAGAAATATGTTACTTACAATTCAAGGTTTTATATAAGACAACAGTAATACGTTACTTACAATACACTGTTTTATATAAGACAACAGTAATACGTTACTTACAATACACAGTTTTGAATAAGATAATAGTAACACGTCATTTACAATACAAAGTTTTATTACATACAACATTAATACATTACTTTAAATACAAAGTTTAATAACATACAACAGTAATAGGTTACTTTAAATACCAAGTTTTATATAAAACAACAGTAATAGTTACTTACAATACACAAGGAATTTTGAGATAACAGGTCCACTCCACCTATGAAAACAATGTCTTTTAAGATTGATCTAGAATATAGATTATTTCTTCTCCGATTTATACGCAGATCCAGCAGCCCCTTTGACACAGAGAGACAAAAGTACAGAAAGTGTAAGTGTGTGCTATAGCATATTTCTATGTACTTACTCCACAGGCACTATCCTCTGGAGCATAATTATATTACATGAACAAATAGGTGTGTTAATATATGTAAAAAAATATATGAGGTATTCTCATTACCCTAAGTAAGACTACCGCATATTTTTACAATGTTTTTTTATTATTATTTTATTGACGTGTCACACATTTCAATACATGCATCAATTTCATCAAATCCTTTTTACAATGTTTAAGAACTCTGCATAGGAAATGTATGGACAGTGTTGACAGGTGAGACACCATTATCCCAATACTACGTAATATGTATCACAATTATATACTACATAACATTTAAACTGTTAGCGTATTAAGAGATTTCCAGATTTAGTTCATTCATTTAAACATTACCGTTGAGTGAACATATATTTACTATATATATATATAAATATCATTTAAAGTATAAGGCGTATTGATAAATTGCTAAATTCAACAACAATACATCCAAGTGTTATTACAGTATACCTACATCAATATAACAGTACATACCAGTTGAACCTGATGTTTTGGCATGTCTACTCCTGTGGTATTAGGAAACAAAGAGTTAAGTGTGGATTCGTATCTTCTTCGTGAGAAAAGATACAATCTAGGCAGTTCAGGGTCACATACGTGCTCCAATTGTATTTATAGGACGTTTAAATTTAAATTGTTTATATGTATGTACAGCAAATCATCAAATAGAGGTTCCTCACGAGCAACGGTTAATTTTCATGTTTGTCTCGCTCAGGTTAGGTAATTTTTGAATTGTTCAAAGACACAAGTCTTACCGATTGTTGTTTACAGTTTGGACATTATCTAACGTGGGTTAGATAAACATGTTAATCAACCACCTCGAGTTTGGGACAGTTTGTCTCCCACAACATTCAGATATTATATCTAGAAAACCATGTTTCTCTTTTGAATACTTTACTCTTGTTCCCTATCGGGCAAACAATTGCCACGAACTATGACATCAAAATGGAACATGACATCGCAAAGAATTGTTACTTTACCACAAAACTAGACAACTGACCAATGTAATCACGTCCAGAGTGTTAGCCACTAGTGGGTAACCAAAACCAAAACTAAGACGTTCTCCTATCAGGTTTATCCAGTGGGTTGGGAGCTATCGTATGAGAAACATATAGTGTCACGTGTGCCCAACTTCGCCAGACGAAGTCCTCGATCACAGATATTCTAACTGAAAACAACAAAACTTTGACTTTAAAGGTACTGGTTTTAATATGGTATCTTTAGCCTCCGTTAATGTTATCAGGTTCCAGAACAACGTCTATCGAAGGGCACTACTTTACCACTGTGACATGCAGCTCGAACGAGTTAACATTAACATGAAAATGACCAAACGATAAACAGATTATACGTAAATGAAGACCTCTCATGGATTGATCAGACGAACAACGTATACACCATAAATGCAGATACTATTGATCTGGTGAGAGGATTTGTTGAACATCTAAACAAAAATACAAAATCACCTATTACAAATAAATGTATATATAATAAAAATTATTATTATTTGTATTAATTCTAGACAAATCATACACATGAGGAACCGTCTGAGGATGGGAAACATCAGTTACGTTCCATTACATCAATACTCTCTAAATTAGGCATACTTTCAATACGTATTCAAGTCATCCATAATGATTTTTTTTTTTCGTTTGGTATGTAAACATTTATATCATTATCTAAAAGCGATATGATAGCGCCATTGAAATCTTTGATAAGGGAAGCTTCCCTGTCATATTCTTTGCTATGTATCTTTCAATAGTTAATACTGTTTTTTTAGTTACTGATTAGAGTAGGTAGGTAAATTTCTTTGCGAAAACACTTTTGACAATATATGTAGTGCTTCATATTTAGAATTATAACTTTTTCTGCCCTGTCACTCAGATGTTGATTTTGTGTTATTTCCCCAAAAATAAAATCTTTTTTTTTTTACATATATTAAAAGTCACATTACAAGTAGTTTGGATCCATACATGGAAAGCAAGAATTAGATTTTGGACTTTATTACATCCCCATAGTACATGTTGAACTTCACATATCAGAGTGAACCAAATTAATCTTTTTCAAAAACGTTTTTTGTGACAATACGGATTGTGGACCAATCAAGTGACATAAGGGAAGACTTTCTGGGATTTGTGGATGTCAGTTAGGGCACTACTGGAGAGAATTTGTCCAACGAGCTCCTGCAGATGATTGATCGTGTTTGACCTGACCCACAAAAGATGCGAAGCCAATGTTATGACGGAGCTGGCAAAATGGCAGGGAAAACCAAAGGAGTCGGTCCCAGGATCCAAAAGGAATACCCAAAGGCCCTTCCTGTTTAGTGTACAGCACATCAGCTGAACAGATGTATTGTACAGGCATTCACTATCCCAGCTGTGAGCAACATAACTGAAACTTGTTCCTTCAGGATTGGAAAATAGTGTAGAAGTGAATTCACTGAAGGCCCTTTTCAAAGAGGACATGCCATCACCATCAACATTTAATGAAGAATTCCAACAGTGGAAATTGTATTGGACGGACCAGACAGATAAGCCCACCACCCTTTCAACTGCTATCAAGGAACATGATGTGGAACATTTCCAGTAACAAGTTGTGAATGCGAACGGAGCATCAGTGTGCTGAGACTTCTCAAAACATATCGTCGGTCAACAATGGGACGGCAGAGAATGACTTCTCTGGCTCTTATGTTCATTCATAGAGCAGTGAAAGTTCCAGTTACAGACATTGTAAGAGAGTTTGCCAGGAAGAATCCAAAGAAAGATGGAGCTTCCAAGCATTTAGCTTGTGGAATGAAATGAGACATTATGACATTACATTGTGTTTACATATCTTAAGCTTGGACAACATCTTTGTTTTGCTTCAATTTCCATACCATAACAAATTTGAAGTGACTCAGATGGAAGGTCAAAACATTATTTCAAATGTTTCCAAAAAGGACATCACGGAAAGAGCCATATTTATTTTAATGAATGTATGTGTTGTATGCACTGCCACTTAACGGTTGCTATGGTGGCACTTGTCTGATTTTTCAGAATATCTGACATTTCTGTGCTGTTCATCGGTTACGGGAAATGTGTCTGTTGCTAGTTTGTTGTTGAGATGGGTTTCCTAGAGTTCAATTGTTTGATATCAGTGATCCTCGATGATGTCATAGATAACCATTGATGACGTCATAGTTATGATGACATCACAGTTACTATGACGTCATAAAACAAGACAGTATCATCATAGTATCACTGTACTGTTTGCTTTTAACATGCACATGATCTCAAAGCATCATATTTCACCGAAAAGGAATTTTATTCATGAAAACTACAAACCAATTCAAGTTTTCATTTTTTCAGATTACCTCCCGTTGATGGTAGTTTGACAGCAGAAGATGTAAATAAACCTGTCAGGAGAATTCATATTACTCTGTCACTTATAAAGTGAGAAAGGAAACGGATACATTGTTGTGTTCATGGTGCCATTTTCCAGACATTTAAAAGGTTTTAATTAAATTTTGGTAAAAAGTGGTGATGTAATAGGTAGCAGTAAACAGTAGAGGGTTGTGGCCATGGGTGATATTTTTTATTATATGGCAAACCCCTGTATAATTATATGTAAAAAAAAATATAAAAATAAAACTGTACTAAAATTGGTATAAGCATGATGACGAGTTTGCTGGTTCGAAAATAAAATGTTGGCCATAATCCGAAAGGGTGCCTACACATGAAAAGCTAGCTTTACAGGAGGTAAAATTTTGACAACAGCATCCGACTCAAAATTCCAAAAAAGTTTTATAAAAAGTTTTACAACTTTACTGGGACCCAGATAATTCTGCAACCAGGTAGGTAATCTTTAATTTCAGACAGAACTTAGGAAAAAAATACTAGTTGCTGGGGTCATTTTTGGGTCAAAATCAGCATTTTTTGGCATTTTTTGGTAATTTTTGATGTGGTAACCATGGTTTTCACACAAGTGACATACATAGAAAAAAGAGGTTTATACACTTCTCAGTGCTTTATATGTATTGTAAATGTAATGCAGTTTACAAATATAAATGCATGTATACATGTGTTGTGTAGGGTAAATCCGCTGTGTTTACATTTCCTCGACATGTGCCTTGTTTATCAGATTAGGGCAATTTCTACTGTACACTGCTACCTAATGTTACCTCGCTATCCCCATATTCATAGTCCGTTCCAAATGTCCAGTTTGACCACTTAAATTATGCGGGAAGGCCCTGTTAAAAAGAGCCCCACAAACGTCACCTGACGAGGCAGTTAAAACAGGTGGTCTGACCGAGATGAAACATTTCCAAAGGGGATCCCAGATAGGGGCCGTCAGGCAACTGCAACTTCTTACCGCACCATGATACCAAGTTATATGATTTCCGCGTTTAAACTTATTGAATCAGTAATTATTCATCATCAGAAGTTAATTGCACACTTGCCAATATTCAGAATTTAAATTTATTTAACTTTAAACATATTTATTGCCAATAAAATTTAACAAGGGATTGGGCACAATTTTTTTTTTACAACTTATCACAGCCTTCTCTCGTCATACATTTACAAGAAAATTTCAACAATGAAAATAGGCATAAACATGAAGTAGATATATACTAATATATATAAAAATGTATTACCGGAATGTGACCGGTACAGATGGTACACCTTCCCTCAACCATGGGACAAACCTTTCTGTTAAAATGAATAAAGTGTATGGCAAAACCACTACGTGTACATGTAGAATATGTGTCAGATATGGAACGCGTTGAAATACTTGATAACTATTTGTTTTCAATACTTTACACAGATTAAAGCATACTTGTAAAAGGACCTTTTTTATGTTAAGACAACTTTTCTTTTATCAGTTCTTTTTTGTTCGAAACAGAAGCCGTAGTTATCGGCAGCACGTGTAATTTTTACAACGTAAGCAAATATTTTTTCCTCGTTTTCAATGCGTAATCCGAATCGATCTGAAGTCGAAAATTAAATATTCATTGAGAAAAGGTTGTTGCATGATCATACATTCTAAGTCAACATCATGTGAAAACTTGAACTGTTGAAACATAACGATTTAAAAAATATGTTTGTTATGCAATTCTTTGTACTATAAGTAGGTTCTCCTTCCTCAGTTATTCATCCTGGCCCGTTATTTTAACATATTTAAATCTAGCTGCGATAACGTAGCTTTCTGACGATGAGAGATTTTTTGTATTCTTATATATTGCGTCGTCACGGCAGAGGAGGCCGGGTACTAATATTAGTACTAATTTAAATCTTGCATGTAAATAAAAGAAAAATTAGTTCAATTCAAAAATAAAATTAAATCATACAATTTTACTGATCCCGGGAATATTATAAGTTATGTATCTATAATTAGCACACGTATCATATTTGACCCCGAGTACCAACAGAGGTGAGAACAGAATACGCCGTGGCCATCAAAACAGTTACTCCTTGGAGGGCCTCATAGCAAAATTAAACTAACCAGTAACTTATCCCTTCCTTTCGCTTAAACTACTGTATATAGAAACACAAAGTAAATGCTCTCCGATACATGCCCGTTAACAAAATATATTCATCTGTGTTCAAACTCAGACAAAGATACTAGTGAGGTTAATAGTTTTGAATATTTATTCATAACATTTTTTTTATCAGTGTATGACCACTGCAAATAGCGCGGATAGTAGATGAAAGATTTTTTTTTATCAAGATGAGAGCATTTAATAAGAATATAGATAGCTAAACAATGAAAACATATAGCCATCGGTATTAAGAAAGTAAATAAAATTAAAAAGCTGCATATGTAACGCACCTGTCGTTTTGACATAGTCCGCCATACAAAATATCAAAACGAGAGGAACTTTTCGATCATTTTAAAATGAAGAAAATCTTTTGAAACATTTTCAGCATTACAAAATACTAACCAGATTAATTTTCATACTCAATTGTTCATTATTTAACCAACATTCAATAAAAAATGGATATAAAAAGATGTAATTTTTGCTTCCTATCCAAATTACTTCAGTTTTAGTTATGTTTATTTTCAATCCCGAAATTTTGTCACATTCGTCAAGAATAACTGAAGTATCATAAGCATATTGAGCTAGTAATATTGGTGTGTTTTCTATATTTATTCCTTAAATGCTATCATTATTTCTACTTTTGATACCTAGTACTTCTGCACATAAAATAAATAAAAACGGGGCAATAGGGTCACCTTGACGACATCAATGTTAAATTTTAAAAAATTGTGATAGATTCCCCCCTTGATTAATAGATGACTTTGAACATTTGTGAAGAAAATTAATCCAACTTCTACTATCATTTCCAAAATTTTAAAAAAAATCAAGTACCTTATCAATAAAATCCAAACTAACAGAATCGAAAGCTTTCTCAAAATCAATAAAAAGTAGCATACGAGGTACATATATGTCCTTTTCTTCAGAATATTGCATGATATCATATAATTTTCCAGTGTTTTCCCCTATATATCTTCCTGAAATAAAACCTGATTGATCTGTATTAATTATTTTGTTTAAAATATATTTTTTACTCTATTTGCGATTGAACCTGATGCTATTTTGTATACTATATTTAAAGTGAAAGAGGTCTCAAGTTTTTCAAAAATTGCCTCGGCTAACTGTTTCCAACAGCATTAAAAAAATCAGAAGTAAACCCATAAAGATCATTATCTGCAGAATATAATTTTCATAAAATTCGTGTACCTTTCTTCTACCCATATAGCTTTAGAATTCTTTTTGTTTTTCTTCTTGTTCTTTGAAGTCTACATTTTCTTGAGCTTCTATTTCTTTAATTCAATTTCTGAGATAACTTTCCTGTTTGTTTTTGGGGGGGGGGGGGGTTCTTGTTTGAAGCATAATAAATAGTCTTTCCCTTAATTTCAAATATATGAGTTTCTAAAGTTGGTCATTTATTGTTACCTTGCGATAAATGTTCTTTCTTTCGTCGGAAGGTCAAATATGTCGGGCACATCGTCTCAGAGAATGGGATAGAGTCGTATCCGGAGAAGGTTGAGCAAGTGACAGCATGGCCACGTCCTGAGAACTCGGATGATGTAAGGGATTCGTCGGCTATTTTCGCCGTTTTATACAGAACTTAGAAAGAATACCAAGACGAAGGACTATGCCCCACGGCCCTGGAAATGGGAACATGAACAAGCAGAGGCATTGAAGACTTGTTTGTCAGGACCGCTCATTGTCAGCTATTCTGATTTTAAACAGCCTTTCTGTCTACACACAGATGCTTCTGGACTTGGTTTAGGAGCCGTTCTCTACCAACAACAGGACGAAGTGAAGAGAGTAATAGCGTATGCCAGTCTCGGGTTGTCCAAGGCAGAACGATGGTATCCAGCGCACCGACTTGAGTTTCTTGCTTTGAAGTGGGAAGTGACCGATACGTTTGCCGACTACCTTTTGGGATGTCCTTTTACTGCTATAACAACCCCCTGACGTATGCACTATCATCAGCACATCTAAGCGTTGGGTAGCAGCACTGTCCAACTTTGATTTTAGCATCCAATACCGACCCAGTGTCAACAATGTCGATGCTGACGGAATGTCCCGCCATCCCTGTCTGCAGAATGAGGAGGAAATTGTCATCATTTCCGAGGATGTCATTAAGGCAATAACTAAAGGAATCTCGGCCTCGCCATACATAGAAACCATCGCCATGTCCGCACAAGTTATTTGTGATAAGTCTTCATCTTCTGCGTCCCAATCTTTACCGGAACTCCAAGAGTAACAGCGGAAGGATGCTCTGCTAGGATTTTGGGTACCTCTTGTGGAGTCTGAAGCTAAACCGAAAAAGGATGACTTGCCACCAGGACCTGGTTATTTAGCCATTATGAAGAACGTTGACACACTAAAACTTCTGGATGAAATTCTGTGCAGAGTTGTAACATCTGATGGAGATACCAAAATGACTCAGATTTCTAGTGCCCTGATCCAAGGTTCCCACAGTTCTGATTATGTTACACAATTGGGACATCAAGGACGCGACCGCACGTATCCTTAGTATGAGATCGTTTCTACTGGATTGGCATGACCAAGGACAAGTTGAGTGGGTAAAGTCGTGCTCGCGTTGTGTACTTAGGAAGACACCAGACAAGACCTGTGCTCCACCTGTTGCCATCAACACTTTCCAGCCCATGGAATCAGTTTGTATAAACTTTCTATCATTTGAGACTTCGAAAGGTGGAGTTGAAATTATACTGGTGATCACAGACAATTTTACCCGATATGCAGTTGGTATACCTCCTTAGAATATGTCAGCTCGGAGCACTGTGAGGTATTTTTTAACCAATTCGTCGTCTATTATGGATTTCCTCGCAGGATTCATTCGGACCAGGGTCCAAACGTTACAAGTCATCTGATGAAGGAGCTCTGCATAATTACCGGAATAGAGAAGTCGCGCACATCTCCGTACCATTCCATGGGAAATGGCGTATTTGAGCGCTTTAATCGTACTTTCCTCGGAAGGCTCGGAACTCTTTCACCAGAACAGAAGAAGGACTGGTAAATCGCACGTCTCTAGTATGGTACACGCGTACAACTGTACTCGACAAGAATCTACAAGTCAGAGTCCATATTTTTGATGTTTGGACGGAACCCCATATTGCCAGTATATCTCGCATTTGGTTTGAACACAGACGCTGAAGCAGGTTCCATGACAAAGTAAATTGACGACCTGAGGCAACGCTTGATTAACGCCTATGAAATTGCTGTATCGCATCAGCTAGGGCCATGGCTAGACAGAAAGGACAGGAAATTACTATAGTCGTGTTCGTGAGGCAGTTCTCAACACTGGAGATCGTGTTCTAGTGAAAATTGTTACTTTAACGGGTAAACATAAGTTAAGTTATTTCAATACATTGTTGTCAAAATTAATTATGACTTATGAGACTCCGAAATGCAATATAATACAGAAGAGCAAGTGGCGTCGCATTTTAAGAGAACAATACTTATCACAATTTTCCATAGGTTATTCTAGCACCTTGATGTTCAAGTTAATTAAGACTTCTGAAACTCCAAAAGGCAATAATATACCTTAAAAAAATGTCAGTATCACCAAATGTAAAAAAGACCAATATGTGTCAGCTTACTATAGCTTATCATAAGACATTATAAAACTGTTACACATTGGTGTCGAAGTAAATTTGACTTAAGAGATTCCAAAAAGGCAATAATATACATTAAAATATATTTTGTATTAGAGTCACCACATTAAAAGAGACCGATAGATAATTTATAGCAAATTATACGGTACAATATTTCATTACCTATTCATGTACTACCAACTTTAGAGAGAAACCGGTTTTATTACTTTATCGGATGATATATAATTATGTACAGGTTAAATGTCACACATATGCTTATTACTTAGATAGCTGCATGTAAAGTTTTCTACGCTTAAACGCGTTAAAAATAAATTGACCTATATTTGGCTGGAGTACACGATTTTTCATTATGTTGAGGAACTTTGTGTCAATGTCCTACATTAAGAACCCCTATATAACATCACAGGTATGATTTACCAAAGTATATCTTAAATCACTGTACAGTTTGCACTCAATTAAGTAATGTTTTTCGTCTTCGACTTCCCTCATGACACAATGGGTACACAGTATATCATGAAGTTGAATGGGCGGCCTGGCATATCTTCCAGTCTCCACTGCTAGCGGAAAACATCCGTAGCGAAACTGGGCCAGGTATCGCCTATTGGTTCGTGGAATGTCCGATTTCACAAAATTATCTGTGCCTATATCATTTTTGTATTGCCTATATGTTCTGAGTTTATTTCCGTTCACGTTATTATTGTCGTTCCATAGAACTCTTTGCCACTCTGTGCTATCTGCTGCACGTAATTTATTCATAAGATTTCTTGTGACATACTGTGTAGAAAAGTTCACATTATTCACTAGATTGTACGTATCTATATTATTCATAAATTTGTTAACCGCGAAATACCATCCCTTCCGATACCTGGATGACCATCTCGTGATCCTACTAATTAGTCGGCTGTCCTCCATTCTTTTGATTTTACGCATCAGCCCTAAGCATGTAATCTTTTGTCTTGTATAGCATGATAACCACCCCATGTCTTCGCGGATAGCTGTGTTAGATGCATATTTTCCAATAGCTAAAAAGTATCTGCAAGCTTTGTTCTGTACCATATTTATTGATGCATGTTCCTTGATACCCCAAATGGCACTTCCATGCATAAGAACCGGTTCCATTACCGTGTTATTTAGTTTGGTGAATACAATAAATGACATTCCTCCCAGAGATATATGTTTTCCAATGAGGGCACCAAGTGCTCCCTCAGTTTTTTTTCATATGCAAGTGCTCATCCATCCATATCCCCAGATACTTGTAAGAGTCCACTATTTCCATGTCCTGTGCACCACAGTGAAACAAAGCGTTTGTACGCGGTGTTGATATATAAATTCGTCACTTACTTGTGTAGATAATATTTAAAGACTACATACATATAAATCATTCTTTTTTTACAATTTTAATGAAGAAATTAGATCCACTTGAGGAGGCAAACGGTGAAAAACTATATGAATATGTGCTGTTTTGCTACGTAATTGGTTAATCTAGTGACTAAATAATATACTCTTTATTATTAAATTGATCTTTAGAAAATTTGATGAACACCTTTAAATAACACAAAACAATTGATTTAATATTGAGTCAAATTCTTTGCAATATGTAGATATACGATTGGAATTGACAAAATAAAATGCACCGGTACAATAATTTATACTTAAAATGAGCAGCAACCCGTGTTTTCTTTTTTACTCCCAGTCATCAAACTTACGTCTCTGTGCAATCCAAGGAATTTAGCACATGATAAATACACACACCACTTTTAAGAACACTGCAGTGGGAGAACCTGCCGTTCAAGTTTCACAAAGATAAGTAATTGATCAGTGAACATCCTGATCAGATATATAATGTGCATAGCATGGTCCAGCATTATTTTACTCGTTTCTGACTTCCATCTGTCGAGTGATGCAGTTGCACTGATTGTGGTTTGCATATAATGTGACTCCGTGACAGTACTTACGTATTTCATTTATTAATATTTTTTTCTTGAAATCGATCCTTTTCCAGAGACGTAATATAAACGTCTCTGCTTATACATTGCCTCGTTATCTCGCCTGAGGACATTGTTGTTAAATTGTCATCTACACCAAATGCAATATACATACTAACTTCAGGTACCCCCTTGCCCACTTGCTGACATCCCTCTGATGTCAAACCTGTACACAGGTATACAGGTGTGTCTTGGGCCTCCTGGTGTCACTACTCGACACAGGTGTTAAGTGTTATTTACCTGTACACACATGTTACACCTAAGTAGGCTAAGGGAGTGGATCGAGATGGTTTTCATTATTAACCAAGATGTTAAATTATAACTTGTGTATGCTACATGTAAAGGGAGAAACGAAAATGTTTGAATCTCATAATTCAAATATATTTTTGAGATAAATGTAATCACGCACATGTAAGAAGGAAATATAATTCCGTGGAAAGACACAATGTCGTCGATTTGTCATTACTAAATATCTTGTGGTTTAACAACAGCAGACACCAACGTTGAAGTTATTTTGTAAAAAATGTTCACTGATATATTTCCATATTGTTGGACCCTAGATACTAGAGGTATCACAGTATATAACTTTGCAAGCTTAATATTCCGGCACAAAAACTGGTCATGAAATTGTGCTGTTCATTGACGACATGATTGGATACGTTTTTACTGTAGAGCAGAGACCTATAAAGTATATACATCCCTGTATAGAGTAAAGAAACTAATTGCAAACTGACTTTCCAGCTAAAATATCTTTGATCGACAACATTGAGACTATTTCTGTTTAATTTCCCTCAAACTCGTTCATTCGAGAAAAAAAATCGCAAAAGTGCTCAGGATCAGGACATCCAATGCTACCAGTGTGTGTTACCCTATTCAGAGTCGTCAGTTTGGTTTCAAATAAACTCACTGTCTGGCAATTCTGGCAAATTTTATATGACTGGATACCATCTACATAATGTTATCTTCAGGATAATCTGATTCCTCAAAACTGAAAAAAAAAAAGGAATTCGCAGTCTGACGCTGTATGACCATGGCTGTTCTCGATATCGCCTATTCCTTCGATGTTGACCGCTACAGGCGTTGAACTTGTGACGTCACAGTCGATAGGGGCCAAATCACCGCGAGTTACGATTATGCTAATTAGTAGAAGAAGGACAGGTGAAAATCCTACACTTTATACGTCGATATCTCGGTATCGGGATGACCGATTTCAATGCGATTTTCGACATTTTTGTATAAGGATCATATAGAATGATAATATATTCATTTCTATTTTCGTTCAGGTTACACTTTAACATAGAAGTCCGGCGCCATATTTGAAACATGTATTTGAATCAATCCGCCAAACTTTTTTTACTGTGACTACGAAAGCTCGTTCATGGGATATTTCATTTATTTACTAAAGCAGTCAAAATACGAAATTATGGGTGAAAGACTTAGAGTTTTACAATATAGCTTTCTATTTTGTTCAAGTGAGGTGATATTTCTGGTTGAACATGAGTAAATTTAGTCGCTATCTATTCAATTTACAAGAGCTCAACATGAGTTTGCCATTTATGATAAAGTTTCCTGCGCTTAACTTGAGTTATCGCAACATTATTTACCACAATATTACATTGTTCCTTAAATAACTCCGCTTACCTACTTTTATAAATAATTGCTTTATGCAGTGAACTGTGCCTTCAACTTGAATTGGCAAGCTATTATAGAATATATGTTACAAAATAAAGTCTCACTATAAAGTCATTTAATATTTGCCTTCACTACCAATATGATATTCTGTGTGAGGGCGCCCACAAGTCACTGTTGTTTGTTGGAATCAGCAAAAAATGGTTTTACATTGTCATTTGAAAGAAGTTTAAAATATTGAATTTCATTATATCTAAAACGAATATCATAATACTAAAATTGGTCATGCGTAATCTAACTTTGCAAAATAGAAAAACATGTCACAAAAAAACAATTTTATTTACATCATGAATCATGAAAAAACTCCAGAATCGAAACCTATATTTGTAAGTACAGAATGGAAACCTACACCTGTAAGTACAGAATGGAGACCTACACCTGTAAGTATAGAATGAAGACCTACACCTGTAAGTACAGAATGGAAACCTACACCTGTAAGTACCGAATGAAGACCTACACCTGTAAGTACAGACTGAAGACCTACACCTTTAAGTATAGACTGGAGACCTACACATGTAAGTATAGAATGAAGACCTTCACCTGTAAGTATAGAATGAAGACCTTCACCTGTAAGTACAGAATGGAAACCTACACCTGTAAGTACAGAATGGAAACCTACACCTGTAAGTACCGAATGGAGACCTTCACCTGTAAGTACAGAATGGAGACCTACACCTGTAAATACAGAATGGAGACCTACACCTGTAAGTACAGAATGGAGACCTACACCTGTAAGTATAGAATGGAGACCTTCACCTGTAAGTACAGAATGGAGACCTTCACCTGTAAGTACAAAATGGAGACCTACACCTGTAAGTACAGAATGGAGACCTGCACCTGTAAGTACAGAATGGAAACCTACACCTGTAAGTACAGAATGAATACCTACACCTGTAAGTATAGAATGAAAACCTACACCTGTAAGTATAGAATGGAGACCTAAACCTGTAAGTATAGAATGGAGACCTACACCTGTAAGTACAGAATGAAGACCTATACCTGTAAGTACAGAATGAAGACCTACACCTGTAAGTACAGAATGGAGACCTACACCTGTAAGTACAGAATGGAGACCTACACCTGTAAGTACAGAATGGAGACCTACACCTGTAAGTACAGAACGGAAACCTACACCTGTAAGTACAGAATGGAGACCTTCACCTGTAAGTATAGAATGGAGACCTACACCTGTAAGTACATAATGGAAAACTACACATGCAAGAACAGAAATGAAATTTCAACTTAAATAAAGAATACAAAACATGTACGTTGTATTTAATCTAGGATTTATCAAAAAAGGAGAATAAATTACGAAAAATCTATTAATATATCAGACTATTGATTATTAAAAAATGTGGGATTATGATAATATTATGATAGTCATATTACATTTCGTGACCGATTTAAATATAATCACAGAATATATTGAAATTCGATAATTGCTAGCTACATGAGGTAAAAAATATCAGAAAACGTTCAGATGTATAACAATATCTGATTATATATAGTCAATAATGTAAATACGTGTCGAATGACGGAGAATCATATAAAATAGTATCACAGAATCAAGTTGTTCCAAGCACGTGATACTGATAAAAAATAAATAACACGGCGTCCCGGTAGTACCAGAATGTTAGACAACTGTATGAATGATGCCATCATTCTAAGGTCAATATGTACAGAAGTTGATCACGTGACGCTCAGTATCATGCATGAGGTTCGGCTGACAGTGCTCTCACAAACTCTGAAATATAAACAAATACAATTAGTATTTTTCTTTGTTATCTTTTTATACCAAATTCTCAAATCGCATAGGTAAAAATATCACGTTCATCGATCTGTGGTTCACCCGTTTTTTCATTTGAAAATATTATATTAAATCAATCAGATTTAATGGGAATTGGGCAACAGGCAAAGCCTATATACAAGCCTTCTCCCTGGAGGTACATCGCAAACAATAGCAATATAGTGAACTATGAATATTTACAAACATGGTTAGGAACATACGAATTAGATCAGTATCAATGAAGATAGGTGACACCATACATACACTCATATATATATGCGTACGTACAAACCTACATGCATGGACACGTAGACACGGAACATGTATTTGAATCAATACGCCAACGGAGACACCATAATTACATGTCGGACATGCATGATGGTCATAGATTCATTGCTCACCCGTTTGCAGTATAATGTGACCTGTCACCAGTACACCAACATAGCCTGCACATGCACGTTTACACACATACACGCATGCACGCTTACACAACACACATGCACGCTTACACACATACACACATGCACACTTACACATGGCGGCATGTCCTTTAATGACCTAAGCTGTTAAAAGGACGTTAAACAAAATAAAACCAAACCAAATCAATGTTCTGTGAAAAATTAGGCCATCAAGAACTACTTTAATGTGACATAGATAAAATGCCAGTGATCTTTTTATTTTTTCGTTTGATCACAATTTAAGGGAGTACACAGTTCACAATAATACGCAATTTATGATATTACTTGTAACATGCGTACTACTTACATAAAATTACAGAAACAGATCCCGTTGTCGCTTGTCTAGCCAATCAATAATAAAAGAATAATTCAATGACAAATACATATCAGATAACAGATGACATTACAATTTTGGCATTGGTACCCCCTAACCCTTCCCCAAAAAAAAGAATTCCTACAACTTTTATCATTATGTTAACTAAGTGTTCTAAATCCACCTTCAACCGTCCTCACTCAAATCCATCTCTCTACCAAGAAAATCATGCAGGAATAAGCCTGTCGTACTTTAATTCACCCTTGCACACTTCTCAAACAGGATCAGTTCGACTTTAAGAAAAACAAAAATTACAAAAATATTGCTTGGTTTAACTGCGAGTAATGAGCGATATAGAATTAACAGCAGACATCCATGTCGAGGTTTGGGGATAGGGACAAAGAGGGAGGCGGTTAGGTTATCTGGTTTTTGTCGTCTGGTTATAGTGAAAGCTAGGTCAGAAAGGTGTACAACCTAACAATCGATAGTAAAGCAGCATTTGTCCACTTTGAAATCAAAGTCCTAAGCAGCCGTTCAGGTATTGGAAGTTAAATCACTGACCTTGTAGCATGACCTTCCTGTCACCTGTGGCTCCTTAAAACTTGAAGAGTTTCGGAGTTGTCAAACATTTGTCGTGTGATACAATAGATTAACGATAAAATGTGATGACCAGGAACAGTTTCACGACGGAGAAACTAGGAACATATACCTGATATTACTAAATATATACTGCCTCTTGTTAATTATGCTGCCCTCTAGACTAAAGAACTACCACAAATACGTTCCAACAGCAGCTATAAGAACAATAAAAGGTCATCAATATTAGCAGCTGGGGAAAGCTGTATATAACATATATAAGATGGACAAACAACCGAAATAGAGAATGTAGCTACAGCAAAGGACCTTGGATTATCAACCCAAGTCAATGCGGCAGTGTCGAAAGCTAACCAAATGTTTTTATGGACATAGCTCTTTCTACAACCTTGAACAAGTCCCTAATCCGCCCACATCTGGAATACGCTACGCAGGTGTGATCACCGTTTCTAAATAAAGACAAAATAGCTATCGAAAATGTCCAACGAAGAGCCACTAAAATAGTACTAGAAATGCAGACTATGCCCTACCATGAACGCCTAAGAACATTAGGTCTACCATCTCTTGAATACAGGCGTGAGTGGGCAGATGTGGTTGAGCTGTACAAAATATTTAACGACCAGTTAGACTACGGACTGATGTTTCGTCCTACACCACTTAATATCACTAGAGGACACTGTAAAAAATATACAAGAAACCTTTCAGGCTAAACACTAGTAAGAATGTCTTTAGTAACCGAGTGATTAAGGTCTGGAACAGTCTACCAGAGGAAACTTTGTCATCAAAAACACTTAATGAGTTAAAGTACCAATTAAACACACTGTGGAGAATTACCTCCGGAAGTTCTGCCCTTCCTTTTATCATTAATGATTCACATGGGAATCTCTAACATTACATGAAAAGAATTAGTAATAAACAGATTACCATTAAAATATTAGTTACTCCTTATAGTATAATTACGGGTATATACATATATATTATATCATACATAAATTAATATAATAAACAAGTATTTACAATAAAAGATAGTGTAATAGCTTGATACATTGTAAATAGTTTTAATCCCTGCGCAACCGGAGTCCATTGCTGGCAGGCTATTCTGCTAACAACGTATCAAGTCAGAAGAGGATATTTAGACGTCTCCACAAGCTCAAGCTTACTAACGACGTTCAACAACAACATAACATGGAATATAAGTATGTTTTATATCTTTTTTGACTGGCGTTAGATTGCTTGGTCGGTTGGACAAATTTGGACATTCCATCTCATACATCACTGCAGATCTTGCATATGTTTTATAAAGGAGATGACTTTGGCTACAAGCAACTTTTCTAGGTATCGGGAGTTCGTATGGCACATTCCATGGTTACAGTGATTTACCATGGTGAAGTTTTACGGTGTATAACACAAAGTTTACACTGTAGCCTATGGGAAATGGCGTCGTCTGCATTTGTTTGTCCAACCCGGAAGCGATCTGCGCGAGGGAGATATCACGTGATAAAATAAGCCTGTCTGATTGGTCAATCGTGTCTGCGGTGGATCGGTGTATGATCAAAAGATTAAAACAAAATGATTTCAGATTTTATTCGTAACTACTTTAACATTTCATTAACCATCTGAGAGGGGTTCCGAACAGGGGTTTCATAACGAAAAACTTATCGCATGAGATGAATTACGAGAAACTCAGTACACAATTGGTCATCAGATTCATAAGCAAGTTTAACGTTACATGTATCATGAGTTGATATGATATTTAATTAAATGTCTTACATTATTCGACACAAATTATATTCAAGTATTAACATAATCACCTAATGAAACGCATATGATATTACTGCATCTCACACATGTACATGTTATGTGTATACATACCTGTACCTACATGTTATGTGTATACATACCTGTAGCTACATGTTATGTGTATACATACCTGTAGTTACATGTTATGTGTATACATACCTGTAGTTACATGTAATGTGTATACATACCTGTACCTACATGTTATGTGTATACATACCTGTAGCTACATGTTATGTGTATACATACCTGTAGTTACATGTAATGTGTATACATACCTGTAGTTACATGTAATGTGTATACATACCTGTACCTACATGTTTTGTGTATACATACCTGTACCTACATGTTATGTGGATCCATACCTGTAGCTACATGTTATGTGTATACATACCTGTAGTTACATGTAATGTGTATACATACCTGTACCTACATGTAATGTGTATACATACCTGTACCTACATGTTATGTGTATACATACTTGTAGCAGTATCATCCAAATCACATGAAATAATAGTTCTTATGTTGGAGTATATCACCCAATACGATACATTTGATGGAGTCTATGATATTCCAATATCACACATACAACTTATAACATATTTCTTCCTTTGGTACACAGCGTATGATAGTATAGAGCCTTCGATTATATACTAGTATATCAGCGGTTTAGACAACAGTGCATTCCGAGAAGAGAACCCTTGAAGTTTGAGGAGGAGGATACATGTACTCTCGTATAGGTATCTTGATAATGCATTATTACCTTCTATTGAAATTTTCCCGTCTCTGTTGACATCGACAAGTCTGAAGATCTCTTCCGTCTCCTGGTCGGACAGTTTTTCTCCCATACCCTTGAGAACCTGTTTCAGCTCCCCCTTGTCCAGGTAACCGTTTCCGTCCCGATCAAAGGTACAAAAGGCCTGTCTCAGCTCTCGGTCCTGGAAGTCTAGGAGGGACACGTACTCTTCCATCATCGTTTCAAACTCCCGGTAACTTATACATCCGTTCTCTATAGGGAAACAGGACATATTATGACACACATTTAATACAGCCATATATTTACTTTAACTCTTCTATCCGTTTAATCTTAGGGGAACAAAATATTATTTAGCATTCAGATAACTATATAAAGAAAGCTTCTCCCTATGTACCTGATAAATTGCTTATATACATGTAGGGAAAACAGACCAGTTTAGCATCAACATTAAAATTACCATAAAATAACGAAAGCTTATACACCCGTTTTTTGGTAAGGTAAAAACAACACATTTAACACCCACAATGCCTTTAGTTCCTGATATATTATATACGTTTTAAGGAACAACAATACAGTTTACTATCCCAATAACGTTGCCCTATAAAACAACAACATTGTTTTGCATATTGTTTCGTCTAAGAGGTAGCTTGCTCGAGGAAATACTCTAATATTCTGTCGTCCTATGCTACATCCGCTCTCTATATGGAACAGCATGTATAAATTGATTGTCAAAGTATCCTGGTAGTAGAAACATGGTTCAAATAAACACAATATACAGCGCTTTAGAGTCACGCTAATTGCCATGGACATTCTCGCGTTAAGTCATAAACCTCTCAAATATGTTCAAGTTCTTTATAACCTTGGGTCTTTTGACCCATCGGTTTCAAAAGTGAGATATATTTACAATATTTACAGACAATACAATACAATACAAATCATACAATACATACAATACAATACCAGCAATGTACAAACAGTATGGATAGTGTAACAAATTAAGTTAATTGGTTTCTTCTTACATTTGCCGCTTTTATATATTTGGCCAAATTGACATGTTCATTTGTTTTATTTACATTAAATAATTTTATCATTTTAAACATACTTGGGGGTTTTACATAGTAATTTAAAAAAAAAAACGCAAATCCGAAAAACATGGACATACAGTACACAATCTAAGACTAGGTTCAACATTTTGATATCTACCTTTTTCTATATTTAAATTATGAGCATATTATAATCTCTTTCAAATATTCTCTAGTTCATGGTTTTCTTAAGTAACACTGTAAATCAAACTGGTTATAAAGATTTATCCCTTTGAAGATGTTCTTGCTTTTTCTTTGCATTCTTGTCCATATATATCAATAAGTCTTTCTCTAATAACATTATAACACATATCATCACTTATTTCTGTTTCCCATACGTAACCTAGGCCAATTATATATAACTCATTTTCTTATATTCAAAACCTATTTATCCTTATTCTCTTACATATCTTTATATCATGCTTGCAAAATACAAGTATTAGTCCTCTTTAAGTTAATCAAATATTTAATCATTCTAAACTTTCTTACCAATGACAATAAATACCTCCCTAGTTCTAAATAAACCATGATATTACAAGTATTTTTTCTTATGCCCAACAGTCGTTTACAAAGTCTTTTACAAAACAAAGTAATTTTTTTTTAATATCTAGGGCTTTATAAAAGCCTCATATTTCAGAGCCCGAGCTTAGAATGCTATTTGCATACGTATCAAAAACTGATAATTGAGTTTCAATATAAAAATACGTTTTCCGACATACATTCGTAACTGAGCACAAAGCCTTTATGTAAACTGATGAAGTTTTCTATTCCGGGGAAACAAAATAAATCTTAAAATACAGATCTTTCCTTTACAGTTTGCTAATGATGTGTCCGCAGACAAGTAAAATGAACATTACTCACTGTCTTTGTCAACTTTCTTTATCATTGCAATAGCCTCTTCTCGTGTCGGTTTCATTTTAAGCATGCGCGCGGCAGTCATAACTTCCGTTACACCAAGACTTCCGTTACCGTTTGTATCTAACTGACGGAACAGCTGCTTCATCACTGAAAAACAAAAGTAAAATCACCGGAAATTGTATATACGAATAATCAGAAGTACCCCTTCAAAAACCTATGAACTATATCAATATATGCTACCTCGACGCAAACGCTTCTGGAAAGGACCAAGCTCAAAGTAATACAAAATGCCACATTTTGGGTTGTGAAATATCATAAAACGTTCATGATAAAATTGCAATATGCTGAAATGCTTCGACTTGGGCCAGGGATATTAAAAAGTAAGTTACAAATATTTTGGGTAAGACACCGGAAATCACTTGGGCTCGAAAAATATTGAAAGGAGCAAAAGGACATCACCGGATAAACACCTGTGTTTTTGCCGTTTGCAATATAGCGCTGCGGTTAATTTCTAGGATTTCAAGTATAAACAATTATGAAACAAGTTTTTCCAACTTTCATTTATCACCATTACTGTCTCAGATGGAAGCGATCAGAAGCCCCTACTACTGACGCCATTTCCATGGGACAACGTTAAATTGTTTTTGTCAAAAAATTGACATGCTAAGAAATCTGAGAAAGGGATTATTACATAAACATAACCCATAGTAGCGCCAGCCAAGAGTTTAGTGGTGTGTCGAAATTAATCAAAATGGGACAAAAAACAAAATTGATTAATAAAAATAATGAATTGATACAGAATCGAATGAGCAAATAATAGATTTTTGGCCCGTCAGTGTTTCTGTAATAGTCATTTGGTTAGGTTGGAGCAGAGTGCTTGTAAAACAATGTATCTCATACAATATGTAGCCTTCAAAGATACATGTAAAATGACCGTCGTTCATATAATTGTTACAAAAATCGTGATGTTTTAGTTTCGTTATGTGGCAATATTTTATTACATGTATTCACTAGAACCTAAAGTAAATCTTATCTATTATTTTTAGTAAAATATTTTTTTCACTTTTACCTACCTCTAGCGTTGAAAAAGTCTCATTATTATTAAGGGACAATCCAACTTTAGTCTTAATATTATAAACGATACCTTGTATTTTTCAGGAAAAGATTATGCATCCTAATGAGTTTACGGTAGACAGAGAATGAAGATGTACGTACCTTTCTTGAAAGTGCGTTCATCTTGCAGTTCGCGCAGTGCTATTTTTTTGTCTGTCATCTTCAGAAAATCTGTAAAAACATATGTCTACATTTGTCAATAAAATGGTTGTCAAACCATCAATTTTATACTTTTGTATGTGTTTTATGCATGCACTACATGGGGTGCCCGTCCTGATATTTCCTGTCTAATCCATGAAAGCACGTTTGTTTGTTTGTTTGTTTGTTTGATTTTGTTTAACGTCCTATTAACAGCTAAGGTCATTTAAGGACGGCCTCCCCTGTGTGCAAGATGCATGCGTGTAGTGTATGTGTGTGTATTTTGGGAGGCTGCGATATGTTCGTGTTTGTCTCCTTGTGATAGCGCGGAACTGATGCCGACTTTATAGTGCTACCTCACTGAAACATACTGCCGAAGACACCCAGCAGGACGCCCCACCCGGTCACATTATACTGACAACGGGCGAACCAGTCGTCCCACTCCTAATTTGCTGAGCGTTAAGCAGGAGTAGAAACTACCATTTTTAAAGACTTTGGTATGTCTCGGCCAGGGGACAGAACCCAAAGCCTTCCTCACAGGGGCGAACGCTCAACAAATGGCCAAAAGTGAGGCATTGTCAAGGGAGACATTAGGAAGAAGAAAGTTATTTAGAAAGGAGAGAAGAGATAAGGTCCCAAATTTAGTCGCCTCTTACGATCATGCAATTGGGGGCAGCAGGTACAATTCTTACGCCCTACCTGAAAGCACGTTGGTCTGTACAGTTCTACAGCCATTCTTACGTAAACCTTATATAGTAATGAGTTATAGAGGGCCGCTATATATAAAGTGATAAGTGTTATATTCATCGTAAAACTTAAGAAACGTTTTTGAGGTCATCTTAGATACATCGTATTTCAACTAATTCACCCCTGAAATTTGGAAATAAACTATTCCAAACTTTGAATTTGAATGGTTCAAGTGTGTCTTCAGTGCCTAATGAGTGAAAGTTGCATGCATTATAAATGTGGATACAAATGTACTACGTTAAGGAGTGTGACGTCACTAGTGGTTCGGATACAACAATGTGTATTATTCCGTCTTTTCGTACTGCAGAGTTATCTTCTCTTGTGAGCAGGTATTGATTGTTACGTCATTGGTTTGTGTGAGAAAATTACGTCGTTTTCTCAAAAATCGATGACGTTAGTCTCACAAACCAATGACGTAACAATCAATACCTGCTCACAAGAGAAGATAACTCTGCAATACGCAAAGACGGAATACGACTTTCTATGACATTCTCCACCAACTGATCCGACAGCCAGAGGTAGCTCACAGGAGAAAACCCATAGACATTCTAGACAAAAAAATCACCATTTGACATTACACTATCAGCGTAAAGCCACTGACTCCGATTCACAATAGATACAGTCTAAAGTATAGATTACTATACGTCATCCACATCTATTGTTTACTGTTTTACATCGATCCGTTAGTGTGATTGACTAGTTTCAATAACAAGGCCGTACAGTGTGATGTAGATTGTGTGACACGAGCTAGGAATGTGTTATACCTATTCTCTAGAGGTATACACTTGATTAACTTATTCCTTTAAGCCAGCCTTATTAGCTTAATGAGCTATTAACTGAATTCGTATCTGATATTTTCTCCGAATGACTAAAACAAATCACAATTATATTTGCTATCACTTATTTTTTGGTCGAAATTATGTATCCTTATGCAATACAAAAGAGTGTAAGCTGAAATGATAGAAAATGATTCTGATTATAAAATTAAGGTGTCAGTAAGTTCACCATGCTTACTACACGCTAGGCTCTGGGAGATGTTTCCAACTTTCCAGCAGATAATCCGTTAGCCGATAAAGGTCAGACTGTGGTACAAAAGCATGCGTAGCGTCCGATAGTTTGTAGACATTCAAACGACACGGTAATGACAGTTATCATCATCATACGGACCAGTGACGCACATCGGGAGGCGAGGAAACTATGTCCATTGAAAACATTTATCATCATTTTAATGTGAAAGTAAGGAAACAATTATTCAGTTATTACAAAATATAGCAATCACATTTTGCAAATTATCAGTTTTATTTTTGGGCATATGTGAAAATAAATAGTTTATTTGGTTTATACTGAGATTATTTTTGAAAATGTATTGTTCTTTTAATTCATTAGCATGCAAAAATTCCAAAAATCGTAAATACAGTAGGAAAATGATCCACAGAAAAAAATGGTTACAACGAAGTATTCACTAAAAACTGTTTTAGTATCGAGTGTGCCAATCACAGCTTCACAACGTCTGCGCATGCCCCAAATGAGATCGCGTATCCGGTTTTGTGGGATAGCGTTCCACTTAGCTGCCAAAGCTGTTCCCAGCTGCTGGAGCGTTCTTGGCTGAACATTTCTGGCAGAGAGAGCTGTCTGCAGCATGTCCCATACATGCTCGATGGTCGGGCTGGCCAATCCATTCGTTGAATAGTCTCTTGCTGTATATTCTGCTCAGTCACCCTTGCTCGAAATGGCCTAGCGTTATCGTCAATAAGGATGAAGTCAGGGCCGATAGTGCCAGCGTAATGTCTGACATAGGCATCAAGGATTCCATCGCAGTAAATCTGGGCCGTAACGGTACCATTATGGAAGATATGGAGGTCAGTTTTCCCACGAAGGCTTATGCCTCCCCACACCATCACTGAACCTCCGCCATATCGATCATGTTCCATAACGTTTCTGGACTCGTCACTAAAAATAACCGGTTCCCAGTCCTGAAGAGTCCAAGTGCTGTGAGCTTGGGCCCAATCTAATCGGTCCCTAACATGGCGGGCAGTTGAGGGAACTCGTATTGTTGGTCTACGTGACCTTAAACCAGCATCATGAAGACGGTTCCTAACTGTCTGAGTGGCTACCCGGGTACCAGAAGCATTTAGGAGGTCATTTCGTAAAGCTGTGGCAGTCTGGAACCTGTGACGCCGTGTCTGTATGAGCAAAAAGCGGTCTTGGCGCTGCGTTGTAGCCCTAGAACGACCTCCAGCATGACCTCTGAAACAGTTTCCTTTAGTTTGGAAACGATTCCACATTCTTGCCACCACACTTTGAAAGACCCCAATGTCTGCTGCAACTTGGCGTTGAGACATGCTAGCTTGCAGCATTCCCATGCCCCTATTTATTTCACCGTCATTTAACCGTCGTCTGGTTCGTCTTTGTGCCATATCAAAACAAAAACACGCAAAGAATATTCATCAAATTGATTTCTTTAACAATTTGAACAACGCCTTACTTAGCCTAGCTTAGCTTTTGAAAGGGATGTACACGTGGAAAAGCGTGCAAGCGCTTTTATTGTTGACTGAACACAACCACAAAGGACGATTTGGAAGGCTAACATATTCGCCCAAAACAGTACAGAGGGAAAATATAATATCATTTCTAACATTTTGATTTTTTTTTCAAAATATAGGTTATCCTTAGCAAAATGTGAGTAGTATATAAGTAAATAAATCACTTGTTTGTATGTTATCTGACAGAATGAAACAACCGTGGCTAAATGATAATATCATTATACGAGGCTTCAAGATATCTCAGCGGGAATCACCGGTTATACATGATAGAGCTACAGTATAACGCTATAACTTCAGGATCTTCGGGACTAGACCAGAGAGCTACTAACTGTAGATCAGCCGTAGCTCAGTTGGTAAGATCAGTCTGTATCCTGATTGGATGTCAATTGTTCGAATCCTAGCATAGTCCCGTCCCATTTCTCATCTCAGAAAACTTTTGTTGATATTTTTTGTTTAATAATTTTTCCCCACAATTGTTCCGTAAAGTATGGGTTTCTTTTCAGCAATGGGTTGTCGTTGAGGCGTTATAACCTGTTTCCAGTTCGTACAGTGTTTGTATGAGTGATCCTTATACACAACATTAGATTGGTTAGCATGGAAATACTGTACAGTAGTATAGTTGGTTCAATTCGTTGGTGTAATATGTTGCGGTTGTCCCTACCAGAACTACTCCGTGGGGATTTTATATCGCGCGATATGGATTGTCAAAAATATCGCGCTCAAGAGGATGCTTTTACATTTGGGTGATCGGATTTATGTTACAAGTGTCTTATAAAAGTAAACTAGAATGTAATATTCCATTGTTGTTTTTTCTTCAAAATTCCGCATGAAATAACCTGACTCTTCCTTTTGTGTCTGTAAATTTGATATCATGGAGATAATAATTCATGATATCAACATTCCCTGAATAATTAATTTCGTGCTTTCTTTGGTGACCGTGAATAGAGCGAAATTAAGCCCTGCTAATATTACTAACTATGCAGTATAAGGTTAAATACAGCACTATGAAGGTAACACTGGAGTTGTTCTTGATGGTGTAACCGTTTCTGGTAATATGGATGTGCAACCCAAACCCGTATGTAGAATTTCACACCTTCTAATACAATGTTTTACATCACATTGGATTCGAAAGTATATATTTTCTATCAACATATCAATATCAGTGTAAAATGTTCATCCGTTCTGCTTTCATCTTCAATGATACCCAATCATTCACTGTGTAATTCGCCGATCGATCGGTCATTAAACTAGGCAAGAATATTTTACATAATGAAAGCACTAGCTTGCTGAGAAAAAGGTTTGACAATGATCGAGGTGTCGGGTATCTCAATTGTTGCTCGTATAAACAAATACGAGCGTTCCTATTCTGAAAAAGCTTGATCGATATGTAAGCTTTGTTTTGTTACGTATTCAAACAATACCTAGCTACAGTTCATTTTTGAAATCAATTTTCAGGCAGGGTCTCATTTGATTCACATGGTACTGATGTTCTACAGTATAATACCACACCGAGCTTTCCAGACTCTACCATAAGCAACATAGGTCATTATGTGGACAGAATTTATCAATATTAAAAAAAACAAAAAAAACAGTAAAATAAAACTTTTTTTTTTTTAATTTAAACAATATCATATTTAATAAACTAATAATATACAAATGTACTTAAACTATGGTGTATATATGTACTTATCCTCTGTTAACAATCCAGGCTATGAATACGCTCTTATTTTGACCTCTTTTTTTACTATAACACAGCATTCCTTAAATAGTGTATACTTGCAATGGTCCCTTATCGATCCTATATAGATATTACTTATCGACTACAAGATTCATCTATTAGATATTCCTTTCTCTAAACTTTGTACAAAATCATTTTTGTATGAAAAAATGTTTATCAAATGAGGGAGAACGAGTTAGATATTAATACAAATTACATACGCCTTGTAAAGTTGTTCATAATTTTGAACATAAAATCAGGAGGCTTTCTATCTTTGGCTTGAGTTTGTGTCCATATTCCTCGTAGTGTAACTTGCATTATGTGTATGTGGTAATAGTATATGTTCTGTTAAATTAATAAATAAGCTTGTTAAAACACATTTCAGTTGATAGGGAAATACTTATTATACTCCAAAAACGATTAAATGTTTAGAATAGGCTGCTTTTTATTTGAAAATTACGTTGTCTGTCCGGGACATCTAAAAAGGATTTTCATTATTTATGAATGAGTCATTTCTAATTGACCAGTGATGCTCGGTAATATATCAAGGAAAAGGTTGCCGGGATATCAAAGTAATTGCACATCTAGGCAAGAAAAGAGTAAAGAAAATCGATAGCACGTAATTGATTTTCCTGGATTCTTATCCGGCAAAGATTTCTAATATATTGTTGTTCACAAACAAACGGGACACAATGCAAGCAAGCATTATTACGATAAAGTGTTTCAAATTCCTTCGAACCCTTTAAAATAACGTCTCATGATTCATTGTATCAATGTAGCTCTCATTTCTAATTTAAAAAAAAAGGCACAATGTTTGCTCTTTAGTGTAAACAAAGACGTATATACTACCGGCTGTATACGTCTCTGGTGTCAATAAGAACCTGTAGTAAATATTTCAGTGTTGCGTTATAATGTTTCATATATATGTATATCTAAACATACAGTTGGTTATAATAACAGATAAATTTTACTCTCTGACGTATGAGGAAAGTCATATGACTTGCAGATCAATGTAAGCTAAACTATAGCATGCGTGAAAAGATTTAAATATACGAGCAGGTTATAGTAATTACTTTCATGGCAAGATAAATACAAAATTGTCAGGTTTGATTTTGTTATGCTGTATCATTTCCGTACTACTCTAACAAAGTGGATTTCGATTAAACAGCTGAATACATATACGTCATGTGTGTAAATTCTTTAAAAAATATTTCTTTCACTCGTATCATTGAAACTTTAACTTTAGTATTGGAGACTGTTTTGGCATGATTACATCTTTGATAAATAATTTATGGAAAGAAAATCGGAATATTTATGAGAAATAACAAACATTTAATAAACAAAATATGTCAAGAACATTTTTCTGTGGGTCAAATTTCAGCAGGGTTAGACTGGGATTCGAACCCTGAACTTCAGATTGTTAGACCATCGCTGGATGTATCCTCACCCATCTGCGCTACTGTTATATCTAAACGGAAGTAGGAAAGGAGACACAGCACAGTGGGGCACGGATTCTTAACATAAAAGTCTTTGAGGAAGAAAAATCCTCTTTCCCTTATCGTTAAACACACAATAAGAAAACGCAAAAAGTCCTTCCTTGGATTAAAATATAGTGTATGTATTACAGAGACGGACAACATCATTTGTCAGAAATCTGCTACGAGGCCGAACATCCTTACTGAGTAAATGTCTTCTATAAGGACGAGGAACATCATTAATGATACATAAACTAAAGGCGAACAGTCTCATTTGAAATCTCCTTAAGTGTTTTATGTTAAATAGGTAAATTGTATTTGTATTATTGCCCGTTTATGTTTTGTTTTGTTTATAGCTGTTTGTCATGGCTTTACGCTTCATTTGATAAAGTTAATAAAACGACACGATTTACATTTCACTGTATTTAGGACAAAAGTTGTCACATCGATATATCTTTCACACAAAAAACCCGCATAAAATTTAACTTTTAAGTTAGTCATAAAGTACTACTTGTGTAAGAGACAAAGCCCGACATAGATCACTTTTAGTCGAAATCAAAGGGATGTTTATGCCATAGTTTTAGTAAAAGCAAAACGTAGCGTCGATGAATAAACATAACCAACTTTGTTAAACACAATGAACCGTTAATATCGTATTAACCTCGGCACGTCAGACCTATTACATTGTACATTACAAAGTCTTCATCGTATAACTCACGTTAAAAAAGGTCGATGCTAGAATATGATAAAGGTGTAAGGCAGTTTGTCTCTTTATGTCATTTGCAAAGTAAATGGAATGTGTTACAAGACTACGCATATCTATACTATAAATATATAGGTTATATATTTAAACGTTAATCGTTCACAAATATTATAAATTTAGACGTTTCGTTTCAGATGAACACAGCTATTCAACAATCTCAAAAACTGTCCCTTTCCATGTGACTTTTTTGAAATTGAAAATCGTTTTATTGAAAAACAAATTGTTATGGAAATATTTGGAGGACTTTAACCAATTCTACCGATTATCAATGAGTTATAAACACCTACCAGTACAGGGACTTCGGATAAGAAAATACCATAACATGAACTTCAGGTACACAGCTACTGTACCATTACGTGATCTTCAGGTACACAGCTAATGTACCATCACGTGGTGTTCAGGTCCACGGTTACTGTACCATTACGTGAACTTCAGGTCCACGGTTACTGTACCATTACGTGAACTTCAGGTACACGGCTACTTTACCATAATGTGAACTTCAGGTACACAGCTACTGTACCATAACGTGAACTTCAGGTACACGGCTATTGTACCATTACGTGAACTTCAGGTAAACAGCTACTGTACCATAACGTGAAGTTCAGGTAAACAGCTACTGTACCATAGCGTGAACTTCACGTAAACAGCTACTGTACCATAACGTGAACTTCAGGTACACGGCTACTGTACCATAACGTGAACTTCAGGTACACGGCTATTGTACCATTACGTGAACTTCACGTAAACAGCTACTGTACCATAACGTGAACTTCAGGTAAACAGCTACTGTACCATAACGTGAACTTCAGGTACACAGCTACTGTACCATTACGTGACCTTCAGGTACACGGCTACCGTACCATAATGTTAACTTCAGGTAAACAGCTACTGTACCATTACGTGAACTTCAGGTAAACAGCTACTGTACCATAGCGTGAACTTCAGGTGACAGCTACTGTACCATAACGTGAACTTCAGGTACACGGATACTGTACCATAACGTGAACTTCAGGTAAACAGCTACTGTACCATAACGTGACCTTCAGGTACACAGCTACTGTACCATTACGTGACCTTCAGGTACACGGCTACTGTACCATAACGTGAACTTCAGGTACACAGCTACTGTACCATTACGTGATCTTCAGGTACACAGCTACTGTACCATAACGTGATCTTCAGGTAAACAGCTACTGAACCATTACGTGAACTTCAGGTACACGGCTACTGTACTATTACGTGATCTTCAGGTACACGGCTACTGTACCATTACGTGAACTTCAGGTAAACAGCTACTGTACCATAACGTGAACTTCTTGTAAACAGCTACTGAACCATAACGTGAACTTCAGGTACACGGATACTGTACCATAAAGTGAACTTCAGGTAAACAGCTACTGTACCATTGCGTGAACTTCAGGTAAACAGCTACTGTACCATAGCGTGAACTTCTTGTAAACAGCTACTGAACCATAACGTGAACTTCAGGTACACGGATACTGTTCCATAACGTGAACTTCAGGTACACGGCTACTGTACCATTACGTGAACTTCACGTAAACAGCTACTGTACCATAACGTGAACTTCAGGTAAACAGCTACTGTACCATAACGTGAACTTCAGGTAAACAGCTACTGTATCATTACGTGAACTTCAGGTACACGGCTACTGAACCATAACGTGAACTTCAGGTAAACAGCTACTGTACCATTACGTGAACTTCAGGTACACGGCTACTGAACCATAACGTGAACTTCAGGTAAACAGCTACTGTACCATAGCGTGAACTTCATGTAAACAGCTACTGTACCATTACGTGAACTTCAGGTACACAGCTACTGTACCATAACGTGAACTTCAGGTACACAGCTACTGTACCATAACGTGAACTTCAGGTAAACAGCTACTGAACCATTACGGGAACTTCAGGTACACGGCTACTGTACTATTACGTGATCTTCAGGTACACGGCTACTGTACCACTACGTGATCTTCAGGTGCACGGCTACTGTACCATTACGTGATCTTCAGGTACACGGCTGCTGTACCACTACGTGATCTTCAGGTACACGGCTGATGTACCACTACGTGATCTTCAGGTACACGGCTACTGTACCATTACGTGATCTTCAGGTACATGGCTACTGTACCATTACGTGATCTTCAGGTACATGGCTACTGTACCATTACGTGATCTTCAGGTAAATGTACACGGCTACTGTACCATTACGTGAACTTCAAGTACACGGCTACTGTACATGTACCATTACGTGATCTTCAGGTACACAGCTACTGTACACTACGTGAACTTCAGGTAATTATAAGCACCTACTGTATCATAACGTGAACTTCAGACAAGCAGCTACTATTGCAAAAAAACTTGAGGTAGCAGATATCGAAACATGAAAGTCAGTACTATTACAATAGACCACAACAATGCATTAACACTGTAAATCACATAACAACATTTATAATCATCAGTGTACAAACTAGTTATATATTTCATGCTAAATGCTGCCAGTTTTCACTTCACACAGTGTTGATGGAGAAAGTTATCGCTATCTATATAACATCTACCCGAACTCACCTGTATGATGATCTCATCTATATATCCTGATCACTGCCGTAGCGTCAGGCTCACTGAAATGTATGCGAGTACAAATGTTGTTTTTACCTGTACTACAATGCAACCATTATTACGGCTTTTGTTGACGTTGATTTGATCCCTCCTGCGCATGCGTATACTGTACACAAGAAACAAAGCACGTTATTGTTACAGTGACTATTAGATGCTGGGCACACCTACCTGTGTATATGTTAATTTTTTAACCATATCTTAAAAGGTTTGTTAGTTAAATACAAAACATTGACATGTGGAATTTAAAAAAAAAATCTAATCGAAAATGAATATTGTTTGTGCAAGTAGTCAGCTTCGTGTTAATTAAACCTCAAATTATGAGAAACATGTGATATTTTGGTTAACATACATTGATGTTTTTTCAACAATTTTCCTAAGCTAACAATTCTTTTACCAGCCGAAGTTGGTCGATATATCAGCCAATCATTGGTGATCAACCCGAGTTCAACCGCCGGATAGAGTTAGTGTATTTGTAAGGGTATCTTCCATCTGTATATTATAAACACTACATAAGATGGTATTGTCACGAGGTGCCGTGAACACCATACCCGAGTGACCCCGTACACAACTCCCAGTTTGTTACGGGTATCGGGTGACATCGGCTGTGTGTCATGAGGCTAGGGATACAGGCCTAGGGGTATCAATGAAACAGGAGAGTCCACCCGGCCCTATGTGTATTATCGATCACAGGTCAAAATACTATTAAATCATGCTACAACAGCCAGAGGTAGACTTGCGAGCTCACTAACACGTTAATTCGATCTGTCCGGTTATCTTTTAAAAGTACCAGTCTAATGATCTGTGGCAAAACGTATGAAGCTCTGGTGTCCGGTCATGTATCTAAACCACTATCCAGAATGTCCTGTCATGTATCTAAACCACCATCCAGAATGTCCTGTCGTGTATCTAAACCACCATCCAGAATGTCCTGTCATGTATCTAAACCACCATCCAGAATGTCCTGTCATGTATCTAAACCACCATCCAGAATGTCCTGTCATGTATCTAAACCACCATCCAGAATGTCCTGTCGTGTATCTAAACCACCATCCAGAATGTCCTGTCGTGTATCTAAACCACCATCCAGAATGTCCTGTCATGTATCTAAACCACCATCCAGAATGTCCTGTCTTGTATCTAAACCACCATCCAGAATGTCCTGTCGTCAAAGGTATCCGACTTAATATCACATCTACACGATCTGTCCACTCAGCTTCAATGTCTTGTGCTAAACTTGTTATACATTTCACTGTCCATCCATTTACCATTTAGTCCATCTATTTACCCATTCGTCCTTTCATTTACCCATCTGTCAATTTATTTACCAATCTGTCTTTTCATTTACCCGTCTGTCCATCCATTTACCCATCAGTTAATCTTTGTACCCAACTGTGCAACCATTTTCCCATCTGCCCATCCATTTACCCAACTGTCCATCCATTTACCCTAATGTCAATCCATTTACGCAACTGTCCATACATTTTCCCTAATGTCAATCCATTTCCCTAACTGTCCGTCCATTTACCCTAATGTCCATCCATTTACCCTAATGTCCATCCATTTACCCTAATGTCAATCCATTTTCCCAACTGTCCATTCATTTACCCTGATGTCAATCCATTTTCCCATCTGCCCATCCATTTACCCTAATGTCAATCCATTTTCCAATCTGCCCATCCATTTACCCTAATGTCAATCCTTTTACCCAACTGTCCATTCATTTACCCTAATGTCCATTCATTTACCCTAATGTCAATCCATTTACCCAACTGTCCGTCCATTTACCCTTATGTCAATACATTTACCCTAATGTCAATCCATTTCCCAACTGTCTATCCATTTACCCTAATGTCAATCCATTTACCCAACTGTCCATCCATTTACCCTAATGTCAATCCATTTACCCAACTGTCCATCCATTTACCCTAATGTCAATCCATTTACCCAACTGTCCATCCATTTACCCTAATGTCAATCCATTTACCCAACTGTCCATCCATTTACCCTAATGTCAATCCATTTACCCAACTGTCCATCCATTTACCCTAATGTCAATCCATTTTCCCAACTGTCCATCCATTTACCCTAATGTCAATCCATTTACCCAACTGTCCATCCATTTACCCTAATGTCAATCCATTTACCCAACTGTCCATCCATTTACCCTAATGTCAATCCATTTACCCAACTGTCCATCCATTTACCCTAATGTCAATCCATTTTCCCAACTGTCCATCCATTTACCCTAATGTCAATCCATTTACCCAACTGTCCATACATTTACCCTAATGTCAATCCATTTCCCAACTGTCCATCCATTTACCCTAATGTCAATCCATTTACCCAACTGTCCATCCATTTACCCTAATGTCAATCCATTAACCCAACTGTCCGTCCATTTACCCTAATGTCAATCCATTTACCCAACTGTCCATACATTTACCCTAATGTCAATCCATTTACCCAACTGTCCATCCATTTACCCTAATGTCCATCCATTTACCCTAATGTCAATCTATTTACCCAACTGTCCGTCCATTTACCCTAATGTCAATACATTTACCCTAATGTCAATCCATTTCCCAACTGTCTATCCATTTACCCTAATGTCAATCCATTTACCCAACTGTCCATCCATTTACCCAACTGTTCATCCATTTACCCTAATGTCAATCCATTTTCCCATCTGCCCATCCATTTACCCTAATGTCAATCCATTTACCCAACTGTCCATCCATTTACCCTAATGTCAATCCATTTTCCAATCTGCCCATCCATTTACCCAAATGTCAATCCTTTTACCCAACTGTCCATTCATTTACCCTAATGTCCATTCATTTACCCTAATGTCAATCCATTTACCCAACTGTCCGTCCATTTACCCTTATGTCAATACATTTACCCTAATGTCAATCCATTTCCCAACTGTCCATCCATTTACCCAACTGTCCATCCATTCACCCTAATGTCAATCCATTTCACAACTGTCTATCTATTTACCCTAATGTCAATCCATTTACCTAACTGTCCGTCCATTTTCCCTAATGTCAATACATTTACCCTAATGTCAATCCATTTTCCTAACTGTCCGTCCATTTACCCTAATGTCAATCCTTTTACCCAACTGTCCATTCATTTACCCTGATGTCAATCCATTTTCCAATCTGCCCATCCATTTACCCTAATGTCCATCCATTTACCCAACTGTCCATACATTTACCCTAATGTCAATCCTTTTACCCAACTGTCCATTCATTTACCCTAATGTCCATCCGTTTACCCTAATGTCAATCTATTTACCCAACTGTCCATCCATTTACCCAACTGTCCATCCATTTAGCCTAATGTCAATCCATTTACCCAACTGTCCATCCATTTACCCTAATGTCAATCCATTTCCCCAACTGTCCATCCATTTACCCTAATGTCAATCAATTTTCCCAACTGTCCATCCNGTCAATACATTTACCCTAATGCCCATCCATTTACCCTAATGTCAATCCATTTTCCCATCTGCCCATCCATTTACCCTAATGTCAATCCATTTCCCAACAGTCCATCCATTTAACCTAATGCCATCCATTTACCCTAATGTCAATCCATTTACCCTAATGTCAATACATTTACCCTAATGTCCATCCATTTACCCTAATGTCAATCCATTTACCCAACTGTCCATCCATTTACCCTAATGTCAACCCATTTACCCAACTGTCCATCCATTTACCCTAATGTCAATCCATTTACCCTAATGTCAATCCAGATTTAATGTCCCAAGGGTACCACAGATATCTGCCTTTATCGGCCTATTGAAGCTCCAACTTGGTACAACTGGTCAGTGCTGTTACAACAAGAGCTGTCGTAGAACAGCATAGCTCGTCTATTGCCAACATTTGTGAATCTAAATAGCCATCACTTGTTGTGTTTTAACCGGCTCCTGGGGGTTATATCAAAAATCAGAAAGTGTTGTGCACTCCTCTATACATAAATCTACCATGCATACAAGTTTCAAGTTCCTACCTCAAACAGTGTAGAAAACGTTATTTACCCCTTAAGTTCAACCCCCCCTCCCCCTCCCCATCCCATCATCATATGCTAAAATAAATTGCTGTAAAATGTAGAACTCATGATTATGTTTGATTAGATATGCTATAAGATTATATTTGGAGAAAAAAACATGACCCCCATGACCTCACCCCTTCTGGCCCGGTCCCTATGGGTCATATCAAAAATCCAAAAGTGTTGTGCACTTCCCAATACATATATCTACCATGACTTAAAGTTTCAAGGTCCTACTTTGGAGGATATGTCGTTTAAAGCAAACTGTAAAATTTCCCCTTAGAATCCCTGATTCCCTGATTGAATCCCCTTCCCCTCAGGATGCTTCGTGACATATTTTGTCTAAATCTGCCTGGTACTTTTAGAGGCAATGTCATTTAAAGGCATACCGTCAAATTTACCCCTTTTGTCCCCGCCCATCTGTCCCCTGGGGGTCAGGGATTTCATTTGTACAATCGTGAATCGCCTTCCCCTAAAGATGCTACCTGTCAAATTTGGTTGAAATCTTCCAAATAGTTTCGGAGGAGATGTCGTTTAAAGGCATACTGTCAAACGTACCCCTTTTGGCCCCACCCACCTATCCCCTGGGGGGTGGGGGGGGGGAGGTCAGGGAATTTATTTGTACCATCTTGAATCCCCTTCCCCTAAGGAAGCTTCCTGCCGAATTTGGTTGAAATCTGCCCAGTAGTTTCAAAAGAACTAACACTTGCCCAAAAACGTTAACCAATTCCAAAAGACTTGTGTTTCGGACTAATCTTGAGCAAATATGGTCCAATTTGTTGGTTAGGAACCTCCAAGCAATTGTTGTAACCATATTACAATGTAAAATTAATTAAAAGTTGAGTTCAACACCAAAACACAGCCAGCCCAAAATATTCAACCAAGTGGGACGCCGACGCCGTGGGTACTGCTATAGCCCCTCCCCCTTTTTTCTTCGAATAGACGAGCTAAAAACGAAAAAAGTACCTTATAATGTTGTAAACACAACAAACTGTAATTACAACCAAAAATTGATGTAAAAGAAACAAAACATTTCTAATCT